AGTTTCATATTTTGGGGTAGTTTCAATGCATTAGTACATTTTGTTCATATATGTCCTTCCTATTATCCATGTTTATAAACCCCCCCCCCCCATTTCTTTCCCCTTGTTCAATAATAGTCTCCTTTTTTGTTTGAGACAGAATTCACTATGTGGTCCAGGCTGCAGCCAGGCTCATGGCAATCCTCCTGCCTCAGCCTTCCGAGTGTTGGAATTATAGACATGCGCCACCATTGCTTGGCCCCTTCTACTTTCTTGTCATCTTTTTTAGATTCTATGTATTAGGGGAAACATGAGCTGTTTGTCTTTTTGAGTCTGGCTTATTTTGCTGACTATGATGGTCTCTAGATCCATCTATTTGTACGTAAGTGACAAAATCTCATTGATTTTAGATGGCTGAGTGATATTCAATTGTGTATATATACTATATTTTCTTCTTTATTTTTGTTTTCAAGATAGGATCTTGCTATGCAGTTCAGGCTGGTTTCAAACTGGTGGTCTCCTTAGTGCTGGGATCACAGGTGTGTGCTGCCATACCCAGCACATTTTCTTTGTTCATTTATCTGGCGATGGACACCAAGGTTGGGTTCATTATCTTGTTTTTTTTATATTGTGCAACAACAAACATGCGTGTGCCCATATCCCTATAGTATTCTGACTTTAATTGGATTGAGTATATACCAAGGAGTGGTATAGCTGCATCAAATGGCAGCTCTAGTTGTAGTTTTTTGAGGAATTTCCATATTAATTTTACTGGTGGTTGTACTAATACTCATTCCTGCTAGCACTGTGCAGCGGCTCCATTTGTCCTGCATCCTTTCCATAACTTAACTATTTTTTTTTTGTATTCTTGCCAATAGCCATTCTGCCTGGGATGACATAGAATCTCAGTATAGTATTTTGTGTGTATGTGTTTGGTATGATGCTAGCAGTTGAACCCAGGGCATTGCACATGCTAGGCAAGTGCTCACCACTGAGCTATATACCCCTAGCTCTCAGTTTGATTTGCATTTCTCTAATAGTTGAACATTTTTCCCATACACGTATTGGCCATTTATACTTCTTTTGAGAAGTGCCTCATCAATTCATTGGTCCGTTTATTGATTGGACTATTTGGTTTTTTGATGTGGAGCTTTGAGTTCTTTGTGTGTTCTATGTATTAATCATCTGTCAAAAGAATAGTTCATAGGGGCCAGGGATTTAGCTCAGCAGCATAAGCGCCTTCCTGGCAAGCACAAGGTCGTGAGTTCAATCCCCGGTATCCCCCCCCCCCCCCAAAGATTTTCTGTTCTATAGGCTTTCTCTTCACTCTGCTAGTTGTTTCCCTTGCTGTGCAAAACCTTTAATTTGATCTAGTCTAAATTTGTTATTTTTGCTATTATTTTCTGTGCTATTGGGATCCTATTCAGGAAGAACTTTAAGTGTTTCCCTTATGTTTTCTTTTAACAGTTTCAGATTTTTAGGTCTTATACTTAGGTGTTTGATTTTTTTTTTTTTTTTCTTGAGACAAGGTCTCACTATGTAATTCAGGCTATTGTTGAACTTACTTTGTAGCCTGGGCTGGTCTTGAACTTGGAGCAAGCCTCCTCCTCAGCCTCCTGAATGCTAGGATTACAGGCATGTACTACTATGCTTGGTTGATAGGTTTTATTTTTTCTTTTTGAGACAAAAATCTTTTATGTATTTCAGGCTGGCCTTAAAAAATTTAGAATGAGGATAGGCCAGGGGTTTAGCTCAGCGATGTAAGTGCCTGCTTGGCAAACATGATGTCATAAGTTCGATTCCTGGCGCACACACACACAAAAAAATTAGAATGAGGATAATAGAAATCCTTCTCTTCAGGTCAAATGACTGTGGAGGCTGGATCTACTTGGAAATAAAGTGAGCAAAAAACCTGAATTATTATACTTCTCTCTAGTTCATGAAGTAAGAGCAGAAGAATGCAGAAAGAACTGAACTCAGAAGCCTGTTCTAGGTCTAGCTCTGTCTTTACGTAACGGTGATGTTAGATAAGTTATTTAGTCTCTAACTTTCAACTTTTCTGAGGAGAATAATTGCTGCTTTACAGGATTTTTGTGAATATTTAGAAATAATACGAATTTAGAACTTAATAGTACTTGGCATGTGATGATCACGTCTGGTAACTTTTTTTTTAACCATGAACACTAGTACTATGGTTATGTGATCTTAGGAGACCCCTTTTTGCTGTAATCTTTATCTATAAACTGCAAAAGTAAGGTGTTACCAAAAATTCCTCTCAATTCTGAATTGTCATGTTTCTACATTGATTGCCTCAGTTAGAGCACTGGCAAGGTCATATAATGGGATTGTGCGCTCATCGGAGGGAACACGGGAAGTTGTTCTCTGGCGTGCAGATCAGTGTCACTGTGTAAACCAGATATTTGATATAATGTGTATTATTAAGACATAGGAGGAAAGAGAGGGAAAGGGGATAAAAAAGGAATTAAGATGTGCTGTATACATGTACCACACAAGGAATGGAAACTTTATGTATTAAAAACGTCCCCTCCCTAAAAAAAAACATTGAGTTGGATGGAGGTGTGGAGGGAGGGAAGGAGAAGGAAATTAAAAAAGGAATTAAGATGTTTTATGTTTCCATACCATAAAAAAAATGTAAAACAACAACAAAACAAACTCCCAGTGACGACCTAGAGAAGCTAACCTTCCACTGAACAGTAGCATGTGTTGGGAGTAACTAATCTCATGCCTTATTCAAGAGTGTAGTGGTGTATTAGAGAGAAGGTAAGCCTGAAGGCTGTTAGTACTCAGAGGTGGGAGGGTTTGGGGAACTGTCCACTCTTCTGGTGTTGTCAGTGGGTGTCATCCTGAAGAACATTTTCACAGTTAGTTGGCAAGAGCCTCTGACCGAGCAATTCAACCTCTTAAGGTTTACAGTATCTTCAGGGAAAAATTATGGGTATGTACAGAAATTTATCTACAAATATTTTCCTGGAAATGTTTTAGAAGTGAAAATACTAGGAAAAAGACTAAAAATACAGAAGTAATTATGATACACTGTTTATTTTTTTGGAATCAAGACTCAAAGTCAGGATGTTGCGCTTGCCAGGTAGGTACTTATGCTGCTGAGCTATATCCCCAGCCCACTCTTAATTAATTTTATGTCCATATTTATTGAGATGAAGAAATGTTTTTAATATGCAGAGCAAATTTAAAATGTCAGTGATCCCGCTAGTGTTATAGTTTAGTGATAGAATAGTTGCCTAGTAAACATGAGACCCTGTACCATCTCCAGGACTGCAAAAATGAAAAGCCAAAGTCAATCCATTTTTAAAATACAAAGTAATAGGGCTAGGGGTGCACCTCAGTGGTAGAGTACTTGCCTAGTGTGCGTGAGACCCTTGGCTTGATCCCCAGCTCATAAAAGCAAAGCAAACAAAAAAACAAAACAGCTTGTATATTTATATGAGGGAGAAATCTGGGTAATTTGTTACTATAGATTACAATATTTTTAAAATTTTAAGTGCTTATTTTTATGAAAGCTTTTTAATTATCTTAAAAAATGAACAGGCACTTTTATAATGAGTTTAAAGAAACTCATTAATTTAAAAAATGTTTATGCAAGTGATTACTGGGTATCTGCCTCCCTTCCAAGTTTCAAAATACTTTTAAGCACATGTTATTCCCTAGATAAAAAAGGGCTCATTGAGTTTCATAGCCAAATTATTTGCCAATATGTTGATAGGCTGTTTTTTTCAGACTATTTCCAGCTATTTCATAAACTAGGTATATCTGGAATAGAGTCTGATTTTAAGCCCACAGAGGTTTCCATCTGACGGAATATAAAACATTATATACAGAGGTGGAAGGGGGCCCATATCTTTGATTTGTTACTTTTAGTTGTTTTGCATATCATACATTTTATGTATATTGTAAAGTCATTTTCTTGGTTTTTTGTTTTGTTTTGTTTTTGTTGTTTTTTTTTTTTTTTATTGGTACCAGGGATCAAACTCACGACCGCACACTTGCAAGGCAGGAGCTTATGCCGCTGAGCTAAATCCCCAGCCCCGTAAAGTCCTTTTCTTAACAGTATTTCTTTTCCTTTTCTTTTTATTTCTTTTGGTGGGCAGTGCCAAGAACTGAACCCAGACCTGAGCATGTGCTGCAGCATTGAGTTGTATTCCACAGTCTTGAAAAATATTTCTAAGAAAAGAACTTGTATTGACTGTTATGGTGGGACATACCTATAATGCCAGTACTCAGGAGGCTGAGGCAGGATTGCTGTGAGAGTGAGGCAACCTGTGCTATGTAGTGAGTTCAAGGCTAGCCTGAACTGCACAGTAAGATTTGCCTCAAACAAAATAAAATAAAACTAAACCCCTGTACTTGCAAAACTGTAGCTAGCACTTACTTTGTATCAGGTACTGTGCTAAATACCACAAGTCAAATGCATTCTTGTTTTCAGGATCTTCAGTCTACTCTAAATTAAAGTTGCATGGTAAATGTTATAGCAAAGATGTTGACAGCACCATGGCTTTAAAACACAAGAAATATGTATGATAGGTGAAAATTGGGAAATAATTCATAGAAATTTGGACTTTGAATGATATATATTGTTAGGCATAAAAGTCGATGTGTTTCAGAAATGAAGTTATTTGGGGCAGAAGAGAAAATGGTAGTGAGGAAAATATTAAAATAGTGCGTGTAAGGGGCTAGGGGTTTAGCTAAGGCAAGCGCAAGGTTGTAAATTCGATCCCTGGTATGAAAAAAAAAAGGTTGTAAAACAGCACACTGTACATGGCATATTGTAAGCTTTTTGCTTTTAATTCAAATATGTTTACCTCAAAAAGTGTTTGCAAATTACCAAAACATAAACAAAAGTCCCTAAATTTTAGGTTGATTTGACAAAATAAGCATATTGTCCAGATGATTTTCTAAACTGCAAATATGGTAGTCTGACTACAGTAGGAATCAGTCAGTACTTTCAATTAATAGCCAGATTTCTGAACCATTTCTGTCCTCAGAATTCACCTGTTGAGAAGCGTGATACAAATACTGGAAAAAACCTACTCTTCTGAACTAAGGATAGGACAATGTCACAAGTTAAAAACTCTTACTCCTTTGACGCTCCCTCGAATTTCATTAATTTTACATCCTTGGATTATGACGAAGATACAGAAAACATAGATTCATGGTTTGGTAAGTATCTGCTTTCTCTGAGACTGTTAGGGTAATGCTTAGAATCTGTCACAAATAGAAAGGGTTGCAAGAAAATAACTAGAACATAACCTTTGCTGTGTACTAAGACATGTTGTCATCTATGATTTGATAGAAATATAGTTGACTCTTGAATTACATGGGTTCAAACTTTGTTTTTTTTTTAAAAAATTTGTGATAATTTGAAAGAACTCAGATGAACTTCAGATAAATCTAGAAATATCAAAACTGTTAAGAATATGGTATGTTCATGAGTACATAAAATATATGTAGACAACAGACTTATTTTATCATTTACCACCATAGAATATGCCCAGATCTATTATAAAAATTAAAGGCTAGGGGCTGGGGATTTAGCTCTCTGGCTTAAGTGCCTGCCTGGTAAGTGCAAGGTCATGAGTTCGATCCCTAGTACCAAAAAAAAGGTAAAAACATTAAAGGCTGACTGTAGTGGTGCACACCTGTAATCCTAGCACTACGGAGCTCAAGGCAGAAGGATCACAGTGTTTGAGCTACTTGAGTTCAAGACCAGCCTGAGTTGTAAAATAAGACCCTTAAAAAAAAAAAAAAAAAAAACCCAAAAACAAGAAAACAAAAATGTTAAAATTTGTGCTTGCTTGGGCAGCACATATACTAGAAAGTTAAAATTTATCAATACTTAGGTACATGGTATTATATGCAGAGAGAAATGTAAATGTGAAGATGCAGTATTAAAGCATAACTGTAAAATTAACTGATGTAATAACTTTGTAGCTACCTTGTATTTTGAAGAGCCAAAAGTTCTCTGCAAATTTTTAACTTGTGTGAGTCAGTGCTATAAACTTTTCAGTTATTCAAGGGTCAGCTGCCCACTTATTTTTAGGAATGGACTGTAAGTACAAATTAATGTTATTTTGCAGTTTGGTGTAACAGGCTTTGGGGACACAATGGGAAAATCCAGATGAAATAATAGTGGTGAAACTCCAGGCCTTAAATGTGCCTGTCTGTGGTGGTGGTAGTCACTTGAAAACTTACTCTATTATCATTTGGGTTTAGAGTTTAGTATTACAACTGGAATGTTGATACTGATACAAGTCATCCCTCTTACTCAGATTTCTACAGTTTTACTTGTATTGTTTTTATTTTTTTGTGTTTGCATATATAATAAGTTCTTTGATTGTTTATTTGTTTTTTTAAAACAGGGTCTCGCCATGTAGTTCAGGCCGACCTTGAACTCATGTAGCCCAGGCTGGCTTAGAATTCATGACGATTGGGCTGGGGATTTAGCTCAGCGGCATAAGCGCCTGCCTTGCAAGCAGGCAGTTGTGAGTTCGATCCCTGGTACTGATAAAAATGAAAAAGACCAAAAAAAAGAATTCATGATGATCCTCCTGCCTCAGCGTCCTGAGTGCTGAGATTATGGGCATGGGCCACCACCCCCAGCTAAAGTTTTTGCAATTGTATCTCTTATATAGGTTTGCGTGTCTACCATTTCAGTCAGGATACATTGAACAGTGGTGCATGCCTGTCATCCTAGTACTTGGGAGGCTAAGGCAGGATTGGCATGAGTTGGAGACCAGCCAGAACTATACAACAAGACCTTGTCTTAAAACATATGTAAATATTGAATAGTTTTAAATCACAATTCTGTTTTACCCTTTTCTTTTTTTTCTTTCTTTTTGCTACTGCGGATTGAATTCAGGATCTTGCACTTGTCAGACAGGTGCTTGTGCTGCTGAGCTAAATCCCAGTGGCTTATTTTTCTTTATTATTTTGATACCAGGATCTCAGTATGCCTTGTCAATGCTGGGTTTTTTTATAGCAAGGGATGCGGTTTATTAAGAACTTCCTGGACAGAAGGGATAGAGCCCCATTTTGACCAGCAACAGCGCCATGCTGTTTTGTAAAGGCTGGCTTTGAACTCTCAAGCTTAACAGATCTCCTACCTTCGCCTATTGAGTAGCTGGAACTATAAGCATGCACTGTGCCTGGCTTGTTGCCCTTTTATTTATTTATTTGAGACATGGTCTTGCTATGTATTTCAAACTGGGCTTGAACTCACTGTGTAGCCCAGACTACCCTCAAACTCATGGTGATGCACCTGCCTCAGCTTCCCAGGTTTCGGCAGTATGGGTGTGTGCTATCCCACCTGTCTCTTGTTGCCCATTACAACTACATTCATCCCTGTCCCCTCAATCCTCTTCTTTTCTTTTTTTTTTTTTTTGTCTTTTTCCTTTTTATCGGTACCGGGGATTGAACTCATGACCGCCTGCTTGCAAGGCAGGCGCTTATGCCACTGAGCTAAATCTCCAGCCCCCAATTCTCCTCTTTTATTTATTTATTTTCCTTTGAGACAGGTCTCACTGTGCAGACCAAGGTGGCCTTGAAATCACTAAGGCAGCGCAGACTGGCCTCGAACTTGTGATTTGCTGTGTCGGCCTCCCAAATGTGTGATTGCAAGCCTGGCATCCTCGATGCTTTTTTTGGAGTACCGTGCTGGGGATTGAACCCAGGGCCTTTGCATTGAGCTACATCCCTAGCTAGTTCCTCTTCTGTTTGATTTTTTGTTTTTTGAGACAAGGTCTTGACTATGTAGTTTATTCAGGCTGGCCTTGAACTCACTGCAAGCCTCCTGCCACACCCTCCTGAGTGCTGGGATTACAAATGTGATTCACCACACCTCACTGATTTTTTTTTTTTAAGAGACAGGATATTACTGTCTCTAAAAAAAAAAGTGTCTCAGGCTGGAGGCTGAAACTTACACTCTTTCTGCCTTCTAGAGTCCTAGAATTACACCCTTGTACCATCACACCAGGTTCCTCAATTCATTTTTAGATGGAGATATTTTGCTACTAAGAACTTAATTCTCTCATTTAGATAGGATTCATGGTTTAGGTCCTGTGTTATGGAACAAACCTCCAAACTAGGCCAACAATAGATAAGGATGTGATTATGCCTTGGTGTAACTGGGATAATATGTGACGACAGTCATTGAAGGGCCCCTTCATTTTCTTCTTTCTCACTTCTGTCCTCATTAAAGAAATCATCAGTTTATGGTAGCAACAAAAATGATTCCATTGCATTGCGCTTAGCACTCAGAGTACAGTGTCCAAATACACCAGCACCTGCTGTTTTCTTGGAAAAGGCCTTCAGGGAATCCTGACAGTGAGCGTGTGTAGGAAGTGGTGTGGGAGGATAAGTAGATACAGGAGAGTTGGCCTAGAGGCATCTTCCCCATGTCCTTGTTTTGCTGAGACCTGGAGAATATGCCTGTGCTGAGGACTTTTTTCCTAAGTGTTTAAAAAAATAAGAACAAAAATAAGCAAAAATGAAATAATAGCATAACCATACTGTTAATTACAGTTTGGAAGAAAAATCTTAGCCATAGTCTTTAAAATGACCTTAGCTCTACTATCACCTCCCCATTTTCTTCCAGAGGTTTCTGTCTCTTTGTGCAGTTGCAGTTAGCGAACTTGCGCGAGTAGTTATTGTTAGGGCTCCCTGTATTCCTGAAGCCTAGTCAGTGGGCTGTTGGTAGGACAAACGTTTCCCTGTTTTGCACTGACGTTAGTCACAGAGCAGCCTAAGATAGATTCCTTGAGAGAAGCTAGCTCTGCTCCATCTCACACATCCCACGCTTCCATGTTACTAGCCCTATTGAAGAAGAATCTATTCCTAAGATAGCCAAGCATTTCCTGGCAGCTGTAGTTTTCTTGAAGAGGAACATGGTGTACTTAGGCAATAGATAAGCCTGGGTCATGTTGTGTGGCTCTAATTGTGTATTAAGCAAGAATAAGGGGAGCTATTCACAAGGCAGAACTTGTACTTGTCTGTCATACATTGTTCAGTGTTGCCATTTTTTAGTGATAGTTTTTGGATTCTGTTTCTGACATATAATGTGTACTCATTTCCTTTTGAATATTGGAATTTTGCTTCTTATGTGAGTTGAAAGAATCCTGGAACGTGCTTTACTCACCATTTTAAGCACTAGATGCTGATTTGTTTTATTTATTGTTTGGATAATGATAACCTTACCTTCTTACAGAGGAGAAGGCCAACTTGGAGAATAAATTTTTTGGGAAAAATGGGACAGGAGAGCTTTTCCAGAGCAAAACTTCCTTGAAAAAAGCAAATCTTCAGCAAGCTAGTCTCACACCTTTGAGACCAGGTAAGAAAGAAAATTATAGAAAAAAGTTCCTTGACAGAAAAGTGGGACAGTATGTTAGGAGTCTGAGGAGCTGAGGAAATTACCTAAATGTTGTGTCTCTTAGTAAAATGGGCTAATTCATTTCATAGTGAGTATAAAGGTAATCATGTGCTATGGGTTTTGAAAAATATCTGTTGAACTGATACAGAATTTTATTACTAAGTAAATAGCTGTTGCCTTTTTTTTTTTAAGTATTGGAGATTAAACCCAGGACCTTTACACTGAGGTACATCTCAGCACTTTAAAAAAATTTTTTTTTTATTTTGAGAGTATCATTAATTTGCTGAATTGCTGGGGTGGGCTGAACTTAAAGTCCTCCTACTTTCAACTCCCAGAGTGCTGCGGTTACAGGCATATACCGGCATGCCTGGCCCATAACTATCATATTTTTATGTAAAGATTAAATGTAACCTAGTCTGGGTTTGACTGGCAAACCTTATAATAGGAGAGAAGTATATTGATTGCCACCACACAAGCAGTGTATTTAATTAAAAAGCCGGTCATGGTGGCACATACCTGTATTGCTAGCACTTGAGAGACTGAGATAGGAGGATCACCATGAGTTTGAAGTCAATCTGAACTCTATAGTGAGACCCTATCTAAAAACAAAAATTTTAGCTCAGTGGCATAAGTGTGCCTGCCTTGCAAGTGCATGGTTGTGAATTTGATCCCTGGTACCGATTAAAAGGGAAAACAAAACAAAACAAAACAAAACAAACAAAAAAAAAAGCAAAAAAACTCCCTTAAACATCAAACTTCTGATTTTAAAAGATGATTGACATTTAAATTAATGGTTATTAAATCTGTAGAATACTGTCTGTTTGATTATAACGTGAGAATTGTGCTTTAAGATGTTATAAGCCTTCTTAGAAATGGTTCTTTTAAAACAAAAAAATCAGTTCTGTTGCACCAACATCTAATTCACATATCATGTAATCCACTTATGATGCATTTCAGTGTTAATTATTTATAAAGTTGTACAGTTGTCACCATAAGTATTTCACAATTATTTCAGTTTTTATACTTGTTTGCAGTGCATAATGACCATATTCATCAAAGGGAGTTGGTACATGGATGGACCACATTTTCTTTTCATCCCTACATTTTCTTTATTCATCTGTTGATGGACACACAGGCTGTTTCCAAGATTTAGCTGTTACGAGTTTGCTGCTTTAAACATGGGAAGAATGCATATATTGATGCAATATGAACATTTAAAAATTGAAACTGGCCTTAATTGCCTTGTTAATTAGAGGCGTTATACTAGAGAAATAGCTGTAATTTCAGAGAACTTGTATAGTGTGCAGTGTGAGCTGCTAGGCTGCTTTAAGTAATTATTAATGATATAAGTGATATTTTGTTCAAATCAAGATTTGAACAAGGACCCTAGACTTTGGTGTCTTTCTTGTGCGAGGAGTTAGAACTTTTTGGCATGTTTTATTTGACATATTGAAATTCCTGTGCCTCTTTCTTTTTTCTTTCTTTCTTTCTTTCTTTCTTTCTTTCTTTCTTTCTTTCTTTCTTTCTTTCTTTCTTTCTTTCTTTCGACAGGGTCTCTCTATACAGTTCAGGCTGGCTTTGAGCTCACTTTGTAGCCCAGGCTGGTCTCGAATTTGCAAAGATCGTCCTGCCTCAACCTCCTGAATGCTGGGATTACAGGCGTGAGCTACCATGCCCAGCTTGAGAGGATTTTTCTAGAAATCTTCTCTTTTACTGATTTGAGATTTAATGCCATAGTGGTCAGAAGCATATTTTGTGTAACTCAGATCCTTTTAAATGTATTGAGACATGTTTCCCTGGTTCACAATATGGTCTGTCTTGATAAGTGTCCCATATGTGCTTCAAAAAAATGTGGAACCTGCTGTCTTGGACAGTTAGATATGTTTGGTCACGTTGGTTGATAGTAGGTTTATTGTTTGTTTTTTGTTTCTGTTTTGCAGTGATTTCTTTCCTGTGAAAACTTTCAAAATTTTTATTAGGGTTCTGGTTTTTCTGAAATGTGAAGATATGTTTGAAATGCTTTTCTCTTATTTTCTGATATGGTATTTGAGGCTGGCAAAAGGCTAGCAAATATTGGCCATGGGTACTTCATTTTTGCTTCAACCAAAGTACTTTAAAAATTTTTTTACCTGACTTATAACTGTACATATTTATGGGGTAAAGTTTTATAATTTGATACATTTATGCAATGTATAAGCAAAGTAGGTTTTCTTTGGTTTTTGAGTGCTGATGTTTGGTCTCCCACAGTTGAGAACACATACTACCAAGAGGCAGAAAACATAAATCTTATGGAACATTCTACTTCATCGAACGCTTGTTGTAGCCTGGAAGTTGAGGGAACCAAATCAAGAAATACTCCAGCCCAGCCTCAGAGGTGAGACTGTTTGGGGGCTCACATGTTTTGTTTATAATAATGTTTAAAACTCAGTAACTTGATGCACGTGATGAAGCAAAGCAGTATGATTAATGTCATGATACTGTAAACGCTTTCTGATGCTGTGACAAAAATTGCCTTGTTAGAGTAGTCCTTCCTGAGGTTTGCATGTGAGAGACTCTTCATGGTACCGTTAGTTAACACTTCACAGCTGTGGGCTGTGAGCTTAATTTATAGATAAAGGCTGAAATAAGGTGCTTGCTCAGGGGAAGTTCATTTCAGAGTCAGGATTCAAATCCTCCAAAGTCTGGTATAATTGTTACATATTCCTAAGGTCAAATGTCTCTTTTTGTTCTTTAGGTTTACCTTTTTTAAATCTGTTTTTGAGATGAGGTCTTGTTTTGCTGCCTAGAGTGGCTTCAAGCTTGAACTTCCTAAGTAGCTGGGACAAGTATGCAGTCACCGCCTTGCCTGGTTTTCAGTATTGAACTTCATGTCTGTGTCAGTCTTTTTCTCCTTTTAATTTCAACCTATTTTTGCCATTTATTTATTTTATTATTTTTGTAGTGTTGAAGATTGAATCCAAGATCTCGTGTATGCTAATCACACACTACCACAGAATTACACAACCAGTCCTGCCTTTGATTTTGTTGTTGTTGTTGAGACAGAATCTTACTATGTAGATCAGGCTGATCTTAAACTATACATATGGCCCAGGCTGGCCTCAAGCTTGCAGCGAACCTCCTGCCTTAGCACCATCCTCCCTGACCCCCCCCCCGTACTGGAAGTACAGATTTGTGCCACCATGTCCCACCTCGCTTTGCTTTTTTTCTTTTTTTTGAGACAAGGTCTTGCTGTGTAGTTCTGCCTGGTCTTAAACTTACTGTAGCCCAGGCTGACCTTGAACTCGAAGCTATCCTCCTGCCTTAGCCTTCTGAGTGCTAAGGCATGTGCCACCACTCCAGGCTTAGGATCTCGCTTTTTTATCTACTCTAACAATCTTTGAGGTTTGCTTAGATTGTTTATAATTTGTATTTATTACATACTATAGTTACTGATTTGGTTAAATTTTATCTATCATTATGATCTTTAATGTTTTATTCATCTAATCTTTTTATTGTTATTGTTTGGCTTTTCCTTTCCTGTTTGGTATTAAGATATTTATTTTACAGTAGTGAACATTGAACCCAGGGCCTAGGACATGCTAGTAGTAAAATGTTCTGCCACTGAGCTGTAGTCCTCATTCAAAGGAATTTTTTTTAGTATTTTAATTTAATTTTTTTTAATTTTTAATTCATTTGTTCGCTTTTTGTTTGTTTGTTTTGTACTAGAGATTGAACTCATGACCTTGCACTTGCCAGGCAGACGCTTACACCACTGAGCTAAATCCCCAACCCCTTACTTGTTTACCTTTTTTTTTTTTTTGGGACCAGGGATCGAACTCATGACCTTGAGCTTACCAGGCAGGCGCTTATGCCGCTGAGCTAAATCCCCACATCACCTTTAAGCAATATTATATTTAAGCTACATATGACTATTGCTTTTGCTTTTTTGCTTCTAGATAATTTTTCCAGAGATTACCATGTGTATATTTTAACTTTTCTCACTTTTTCAAAATCAATATTGAATTAATTTCTTTAGGTAGGATTATAAGAATGTTGAAAAAGTATAGCTACCCCCTCCTGTCCTTTCTCTGTACTACTTTAAGTAGTCATGTCTTTTAACGATATCAATAGATGCCAGGGATTTGGCTCAGCGGCATAAGTGCCTGCCTGGTGAATGCGAGGTAGTGAGTTTGATCCCTGCTACAAAAAAAAAAAAAAATGTATAAATCTATATATTTTATAATTTCTGATATACTTTCCTTCCTATGAATCCAAATTGTTATCTGATGTCATTTTCTTTTAGCCTGAAGAACTTTTGTTAGCATTTGTCATAGTGCAGGTCTGCTGGTGACACATTCAGGTTTTGTATTAAAAAATGTTTTTATTTCATCTTTATCTTATTTTACTAACAGAAAACTTATGTAACATAAAGTCAGCCATCTTATTGATTAATGAATTTATGTACTTACTGCAGTACAGGAAATCATAACCTGTGTCTTTAGGCATGCGAGGCAAATACACTACTACTAAGCTATATTACCAAGCCTAAGTTAGCCATTTTATTTTATTCCCTTCTCTCATATGGAATTGCTTTCTGAGTTATGGACTTATGTGTTGTAAATGTTTTATATAAATAGAATCATAAAATGTAACATGTTTGTTTTTTTAAGACAGGATCTCACTATGTAGGCCAAGCTAGTCCTTTTTTTTTTTTTTTTTTTTTTTGTCTTTTTGAGACAGGGTCTTGCTGTGCAGTTCAGGCTGGCCTTGAGCTCACTTCAGTGATCCTCCTGCCTCAGCCCTCAGCCTCCTGAGAGCTGGAATTACAGGCGTGAGCCACCATGCCCAGTGGGCCAGGCTAATCTTGAACTCTTGATTTTGTTGCTTTAGCCTCCCAAGTGCAAGGGCTGGGATTACTTCCCAGCTAATATAGACACCTCTGTGTCTGGTTTCTTTACTTCCATAATGCTTCTGAGATTCTTCCGTGTTGTTGCACGTATCCATTCTCTCTCTCTCTCTGTCTCTCTCTGACTCTCTCTCTCTGCCTCTCCCTGTCTCAGCTTTATTCTTTTTGTAAGAATGGGGATCAAACTCATGAGCTCATGCTTGCCAGGCAAGTAAGTGCTTTATTCCACTGAGCTAAATCCCCAGCCTCTCTCAGCTTTTTTAAGACAGGGTCTGCCAATGTGATTCAGGCTGGCCTTGAATTCACTGTGTAGCCCAGGCTGACCTTGAACTTAGAGCCTCAGCCTCCCAAGTACTGGGATTACAGGAGTGTGCCACCATGCCTACTTATTTTATTTCTTTTTATGGCTGAATAATACTGTATTGTAGTAATGATATTTTAATCTTTCTAGACCACTGGGTAGTTTTGAACTCACAGTGATCCTCCTGCCTCAGCCTCCTGAGCACTGGTATTATAGGCATGTGCCACCATGCCCAGATTTACTTTTAGTTTCATTGTTGACACTTCTTTTTTTCCTGGTGTTTTTGACAATGTCATTCCATTTCTTTTGGTTTTTATTGTTTCTTGCATGAAGTCAGAAATTGATCCTACTGTCTTTCTTTCTCCATATATAATGTGCCGTTTAAGATCTCTTTCATCTTTTACTTTCAGGAGTCTCATCATAATGTTCCAAGATGTAGTATTCTTTTGAAGTATCTGTTTGGTAGATTCATTGGCTTTTTTGTATTTTTTTTCAATCCCACTTGTGATCTGTCTCCCTGTTCTTCAAGTATGTTTATTTCCCTTTTTCTTTTTCCTCTTCATTTGAGCCTCCAACTACTTGTTTCATTTTTTGTTTGTGTTTTTGAGACAGGGTCTTGCTACGTTGTTTAGGCTAGCTTGAACTCACTAGCCTAGCCTATTCTCAAACTCAAAGCAGTCCTCCTGCCTCAGCCTTCCAGGGTGCTAGGAACATAGACATGCACCACCATGCCTACCTCCAGTTACTTGTACATGGAATTGTTTCATAGGACTTTGTTTCCTCGCTTTTTCTTCATTTTTATGTCCCCTTCCTTTTGGATTGTTTCATTTCAGTTTATCTTTCAATTCACCAAGTTGTTTTTTTTTGAGACAAGATTTCACTATGGATTCTAGCCTGGTTTTAAACTTACTATGTAGTCCAGACTGGCCTCAAACTCCCTGAGATCCTTCTGAGTCTCCCAGATGCTAAGATTATAGGCACGTACCCCTACCTCTGAGTTAAATTCACTCCCTTTTTTTTCCCGTTTCCACTTCCCTTTCCTGCTTCCTTACTTTCTCCCTTTCTTTTTCTCGCTGTTTGTGTCTATCTCTCTTCTGTCTTTCTTTGTGTCTCTGCCTGCCTGTCTGCCTGTCTCTCTCTTTCTTGCAGTTCTGGAGATTAAAACCAAGGCCTTCCCAGCCATTTTTTAAAAAAACCTTTTGTTTTGAGACAAGGTCCAAGTTGCTCAGTTGCTCGGTCTAAGCTCAAATTTGTGATGCCTCATGGATTTATAATTATGCACCCTCATACCTAGCTCCAGTGATGCATTTTTTTGTCGTCTCCAGTCGGCTGTTTGCCTGTATAGTATGTTTTCTGTTGGTTCTTTTTTTGGTTTCCATTTCTATATTGAGAATCTCTAGTAGATTACACATTAAGGCATAATTTTCCTTTAATTCTTTGAACATCTTTGCAGTAACATAGCTGAAATCTTTGGCACAACTGATGTCTAGGCCCACTTAAATCCTAGATAGTTTGAATTTCTCTGTGGTATAGTTCTTTTTTTTTTTTTTTTAATATGTCTTTAAAGTAGTGGTTTAGGACCGGGAATTTAGTTCAGTGGCATAAGGACCTGCCTGGCAAGTACAAGGTCATGAGTTTGATCCCCTGTACCAAAAAAAAAAAAAAAAAGGCCAAAATAGTTAAAGTGGTGGTTTAACAGAAGACTTGAAAATTACAGTTTAACCACTCTGGGTTCGGTTGTATTCTTCTGAAGATGATGATGAAAGTCTTGGTCAGGTGTTTAATTTGCTTGGACTCTAATACAGACTGTTGTCCTTTGTTTGTAAACAGTTGATTCCTGTCCAAGTTTGTTTTTTTTTAAAAGCTTATAGCTCCTGCTTTTTAGTTGGCTCCTTGGAATCTTCCTTGTGCCTATACAGATTAGTGATCAGCCTTGACTTTGAGTACTGTTAGTACTCAGGTGTTTTTCATCACAACTTGCAAGCGTTCTACCAGGCCCAAGATTTGTCTTATGATATCTCAATCTAGGAAACTTAAGTATTGTGCTGGCCTAATCTGAAAATGTACTTAGGTTAAGAATGCTTAATCTATTTAGGTTGAGCTTCTCTAATCTGAAAATTCGAACCATTTTGGGTTGACATAAGTCTTCAGTGGAAAATTCCATATCGTGAAACTTTGTTTCATGCACAAAATTATAAAAATGTATAAAATTTCCTGTAGGCTATCTGTAAAGTGAATGAGAGACCAGGAGTTAGCTCAGAGGTTTAGTATGTACTTAGCTTCATGAGGCCCTGAGATTAGTCCCCAGGATTTCTTCCCCCCAAAAAAGTATATACAAAGCATAAAAAAGCATTTTGCTTAGCGATAGGTCTCACCCTCAGTGTATCTCGTTTAAATGCAAATATTCTAAAGTCTAAAGTAACCTAAAACTCATTTCTGACAAAGGATACTCAGCCTATACATACAGGTTGAGGGAATCACTTAATCAGAAAGCAGTAACTTTGCTAGTCTTATTCAGCACAGTTACCTTTCTTAGAGACGGGACACCGCACTGGTTTCTGCTTGCCTTTCTGCTTGTCCCCTTCAGTTTCTCCTAGGCACTTATAATTTAGCAGTCAAACAGATGCAGGTTTTGTTCAGATTTTGTGCAGTTCTTGTTCAGATTTTGCTGTCACATTTTGTGTCTCTAAACTTTCAGGATTTTCTCTTTAAAGTGTCCAAATGGTCTTTTGGCCTTGCTTCGGTCTTTTATCATCTTTGTCCCATGAGACTAGTTTTATGCTGTTGGAGCTGCTGTGTCTGGGGATTTTGCAGTTCCTGGTTTTCGTGGATAAATGTTCCTGTGCTTTTGGTTACTTTGCAGTGCCTTCAAATAGTTACGTCTGTAGGTCATCTGTATTTTGTAATAATTTGCAGGATTATTTGGTAAATTCCTTCTGTACTACCTACATGTTTTTTTAATGAATGCGTTCCTTAGAGATTAACTTTTACAGATTAAAAATGAAATTTGGGATTTTGTTCAAAATGTAGGGGAATGGGTGGGGGAAATTGATATAGTACTGGCTGTGAATTGATAATATTTCAATATGACTAATGAATACTTAGCAATTCATTATATTTTATTCATTTTCAAATACTTTGGAATTCTCCATAATAAAGATTTAAGGTTGGACATGGCAAATACCAGTGGCCCGAGCACTTGGGAGGCGGAAGCTGGCGGATCACTGGGAGTTCAAGGCCAGCATGAGCTATTTTTGAGAAAAACCAAAAAAACAAAGTAAAATAAAATAAAATAATTGAATACAGGTTGAGCAACCCTGTTCTGAAATCAGAAATGTTTCCAAATCTGAAACTTTCAAATCTGAAATAAAACTCAAAGTTGGAGCATTTCAGATTTCAGATTTTCAGGATAGAAGGGTCACCTGGTAAAGTCTTACGTAAATATTCCAAAACATGAAAACTGTGAAATTTTTGGTTCTAACCATTTTGAACCTGTTTAATGTATTGTACTGTTAAGGACTTTTACTCAGTGTTGAGAAATTAAAGACAATCTAAATAACTGGAAGGACATGCCATGTTAATGGATCAAGAGATTTATTTCTTTTTTTTTTACAGAGGGTCTTGTGTGGTGCAGACTGGCCTTGAGTTCACTATGTAGCCCAGGCTGGCCTCAAACTCACAGAGATCCTCATGCCTCAAACCTCCTGAGTAGCTAGAACCACAAGCCTGCCTTATTGCACCCCCCTCTATTTTCTTTGTGTTTTAAAATCACCTTTGCTGATGTCTGATTTTCAAATACTGTTTTTGAATTTCAAAAACTATCAGCAAGAGATTAGATTTTAAGAGTAGGTAATTATATTTTTTAAAACTTCTGAAAAATTTTATTAGTACGTGTTGTGGTACATATGCTTATAGTCATTGTGGGGAGTTGGTGTATGTGCATAACACATCTCAATTCTCTGTGTTTCCCCTCCCTCTGATGCTAAAATTTTTATAACTCTTTGTAGTTTGACATACTTCACATTTCTGTTGTAGATGTGTTCTTCATGGCTAAAAATTTTATCAATTGTCTGTACCATAGGATATCTCTTAGACTCTCTGCTCGGAAGGCTTTGGAGAAGAAGGAAAAACATGTCCCCATGAAAGCAAAGAGATGTGCCACTCCTGTAATCAGTGAAATTTCACCTCCCAAAAAGATGAAAGTGTAAGTAAACACAACTTTTTTTTGTTTTTTGAGACAGAGTTTCACTGTGTCTCCCAGCCTGGCCTTGAGCCTGCGCCAGTCCTCTTGTCTCGCAGTCCTGCTGCGAGCTGGGATTACGGGTGTGCACCCCCACGCCCAGCTAATCGACACACTTCTTATTGCCAAGGGCAGACATCTAAGGCTTTGTACACCACCTGTAAGTTAATTTTCTTTCCTGAGTTTAAACTTTTGAGTGAACTGAGTAGAATTACAAATGGGTACATCTTCAGGCTGGTACACCTAGGGTTGGGAAAGGCCTAGACTGTCACCATAATGAGCGGAACTGTTACTGGTGTTGTGGAGGATGCCTTATCCTAGTTGATGCAGGTTTTATCCCTGTTTACTTCTGTGGCTGAGGACAAGCCGAACATAGGGCATTTTCCCTGTTTCTATCAGTTAGGAATCTATTTTGTGGCAAATAATATTCAACCTAGAATGTTTAAATAATAGCAACTTGTTTTGCTTTATAGATTTTACAAATAGTTTACTTCTTGCTTTGGTTCAGTTGCAGAATGATGCAGAGCTATCATCTGTGATACTTAGCTTTTTTTTTTTTATGTTCTTATTGCTCAAGGGGTCTGCTTTGTTGCTTTTCTTAGCTTTTTCCTTTGGCTCATTTTGTTTTGTTGAGACCGGATCTTGCTATATAGCCCTGGCTGGCCTTGAGTTCACATCTCTTCTTTCTTAGCCTTCCAAGTGGTGGGATTACTGGCTTGTGCTACCATGCCTGGGTTACTTTGACTTCTGATTCACTGTCCCACGATAACTGCTGTATCTTTAGGCATAATATCCATGTCCAGGAGAAAAACATTGTGTATGGTAAAGAAATTGTAGCATTCATATCAAGAAAGTGAAATTGCTGGGCATGGTAGCGTACCTCTGTAATCTCAGTACTTGGGAGGCTGAGGTAGGTAGATTGCTATGAGTTCGAGGCCAGCTTGAGCTACACAGTGAGGCCTTGTCTCAAAAAAAAAAAAAAAAAAGAAAAAAGAAAAAAAAAATCTTTCACAAAAGCACTTAACTTATCATAGTTAACCAGACTGTCACTTGGGCTCCCCAGTTGCAGCAGAGACTGTTAAGTACAGTACTTAATTAGTAGTTTGATACACTGCTGCTCTTTTTTAATAAGACTGTTAAAGTAAGTACAGTACTTAGGGGCTGGGGATTTAGCTCAGTGGCATAAGCACCTGCCTTGCAAGGAGGTGGTTGTGAGTTCAATACCGGGTACCGATAAAAAAAATAAATAAATAAAAGTACAATACTTAAACACTAGTTTGATACACTGTAGCTCTTTCTAATAAAAAGGAGATAGATGGAAAATCGTAATTTTTTTTTTTTTTGTCTTTTTTGAGACGGGTTCTCGCTATGCAGTTCAGGCTGGCCTTGAGCTCACTTTGTAGCCCAGGCTGGTCTCGAACTTGCAACGATCCTCCCACCTCAGCCTCCCAACCGTAAGGTAACTATTGTCTGCTGTTTTGTTCTTTGTTTTTTCTTACCCTCCTAACCTCTACTGGCTAGTGCTTACCTTGAGCTCTGTGGACTTTCTCACAGTTTATTCATTGAGGACATTGCTATCCAGGAGTCTGCAGCATGCAGCTTGCAGGTCAAACTTGCTTGTGTTCTGATAAAAAGTATATTTTTGAAAAGAGAGTTTGTGGGCTGGAGGTTTAGCTCAGCGGCATAAGCGCCTGCCTTGCAAGCAGGCAGTCGTGAGTTCGATCCCCGGTACCGATAAAAAGGAAAAAGACAAAAAAAAAAAAAAAAAGAAAGAAAAGAGAGTTTGTTTAAACTTATACATTAACTGTATTTTGTATGCGACCTGAGACAATTCTTCCTCACTTATTGTAACCCAAAAAAGCTATATGTGTTCAAGCGGTGGGCCTTAGTTGGACATGGTTGGTATAATGATACCACTAGAAGCATTTTTAATTACAGCATGTTTATTATCCTAAGAATGAGAACCTTTGAGCCATATTGATAGATTTGGGGAGGGAGTGCTGTGAAATATGCATTAGGGAATTGAGTGTATGTTTTTTGTCCTTTTTAACTCAAGTTCTCAAAACAGAAAGAAGCCAGAGGAAGAGAAAGAGGGCACTGCTCGAGATACTTCCAAAAAGAGTAAAATTTCCCCAGAGAAAGCTAAGGGCAGACGTGCTGCGCCTCATGTACCAACTATAAAGTAAGTTTTCTTTCCCTGTTAACGTAAGTGGACGGAATATAATTACAGGTGGGTGCATCTGCACCCGAGGCTTGGGGAGAGCCCTAAAGCTGTGTTTGTGCCAGGTGAGTTGCTGTCACTATTCTAGGTGCTGCCGATGCCCTAAATAATGAGGAAATACATTATTTAAATATATAAAAGAAAAAGTTAATAAAGGTTCTTACTATCTAACTTGAACCTTATGTGTTTTAATCTTTTTTTTGCTTGGTACTGGGGATCGAACTCATAACCTCGTGCTTGTCAGGCAAGCGCTTATACTGCCGAGCCAAATCCTTGGCCCTTTCATTTATTTTTATTTTTTTGGTATCAAGAGTGGAACTTAGGACCTTGTGCTTGCCTGGCAGGCACTGTGCTGCTGAGCTATATCCTCAGCTGTGTTTTTTTAACTTTCAGATATTTTCACATTTTTTAAAGCTCCCTTTGGCCTTTACTTATACATATGTATTTTCACAATCAGTAAATAAACAACCTTTGGGTTGTGCTTAGTCACTTGGCCTGGAGATTTCTGTTTTCCTGTACTGCTGTATGTCTTTGTGTTTATACTTTTTGGTATTGTTAATACTTTATTGTTATATTTAACCATTTTCTGTTGTAATGTAGCTCCCAGTTTTTCACTATCATCAGTGATTATACATACAATAATCAATAAACCAACTTGATAGGCAGACATTTCTTTGTGAAATTGCAGAATAAAGAGATTCTTTGATCTAAGTGTCTCATGATTTTGTGGGTATGATATTTGTTGCCAATTTAATTTCTGAAATTAAAGTAACAATTTATGCTCCTATTTGCTTTGAATGAGTCTGTCTGTCCATTTGTTTGAGAAAGGATCTTGCTATGTGCTTCAGGCTGGCCTTCATTTCACTATATAGCCCAGGCTAGCTTTGAACTTCATGGCAATCTTTCTGCCTCAGCCTCCTGAGTGCTGGGATTACAGTTGTGTCACCATGTCTGGCTGTGCTTTTTTTCTCCTTTAACTTCTTTTTTGTATTTTTTGGTTTTTTTTTTTTTTTGTCTTTTTTGAGACGGGGTCTCACTATGCAGGTCAGGCAGGCCTTGAGCTCACTTTGCAGCCCAGGCTGGTCTTGAACTTGCAACAATCCTCCCACTTCAGCCTCCCCAGTGCTGGGATTACAGGCGTGAGCCACCACGCCCAGCTATTTTTTGGTTTTTTGAGATAGTCCAGTTTGGCCTTGTATTTGCTAAGTAACTCAGGCTTGTGATCCTGCAAAAACCTCCTGAGTGCTTAGGATCATAAGCATGTGCCACCACAGCCTGCAAAAGTTTTAATTTTTTTTTTAAACTGGGGATTGAACCTACATTAGGCAAGCAGATTCTCACTGAGCTATGTGCCCAGTCCTTTTGAAAATTGATATAATATTGATGGTATCAAATTAGTTTTTAAATTTTATAAGTTGACAGCTTATTATTACATACATTTATGGGATGCAAAGGAATATTTATGACTTTTAACAACAATATAGAATAAATGAAAGTAATATATCCAGTACTATCGATATTTTTTCCATGAACATTGGAAGTTTTTCAATTTTTTTAAAAAACTTATATATATTTCAAATCCATTTTATTTTAGAGAAAAAAACAATTTCAAGTCAAGTCAATTGGGCCAATTATGGTACTTACATTGTATATTGTCATTCCCAAATCATTCGTCCAGAGCACGGCACATCTATATTTAATTGTCCGAACAATACCAGCAGAAATCTTTCTCTTAAATGACCTCAGAGAAATTAGTAGTATAACTATCTTAATCATCATATATATTCACATATATAGTATATCTATATATAGTTTCTTTCAGCTTCTGACACTAGTGAGACAATATGATGTTTACACATGTGTGTCTGATTTAGCTCACTTATGATAATGGTCTCCAGTTGCAGCCAGTCTATCCTTCTTTATGGCTGAGTAGTACTCCATTGCATACAACTGCCACTTCTTTTTATTCATTTCTCAGTTGATGGACATTTGTTTCCAAGATCTAACTGTTACAGATTGTGCTGCTTTAAACATAGGTGCACATATATCGCTACAGTGTGATGTTTTTAATTCTTTTGGGAAGATACCCAGAAGAGAATAGCTAGGTCCAATTGGGGACCCTAGTCCTAGTTTTTTGAGGAATATCTGCATTGATTTCCACAGTGGTTGCACCAGTCTACTCTCCCACCAACAGTGGCAAAGGGCTCCTTTTTCCCCACAGTCCCTCCAGCATTTGTTCTTTCTGTCTTTTTGTCTTTCTGTAGCTCAGTCCTCAGCCTGCCTGCCTGCCTGCCTGTCTGCCTGCCTTCTTTCCTTCCTTCCTTCCTTCCTTCCTTCCTTCCTTCCGTCCGTCCGTCCGTCCTTCCTTCCTTGTTTCTTTCTTGAGGCAGAGTCTCACTGTGCAGTTCAGGCTGGCTTTAAGCTCACTTTGTAGCTTGGGCTGGTCTTGAACTCTCCTCAGCAATACTCTTGCCTCAGCCTCCTGAGTTGCTGGGATTACAGTCCATGAGCCGCCATGCCCAGCTTTGTTAATGATTTCTTGGTGATAGCCGTTTTTTCTGGGGTAAGGTGGAATCTCAGTGTTTTTTTAAATTTGCATCTCTTGAATGATCAGTGATGTTGAACATTTTTTCACGTACTTATTTGCTGTTGTGTATTTCTTCATCTGAGAAATGTGTATTCATCTCAGATGCCCATTTTTGGATTGGATCATTCAATCTGGGAAGACTTTTTTTTTTTTTTTTTTTTTTTTTAGTTCTTTATATGTTTTTGATAATAATCCTTGTCTGAGGTACAGCTGGCAACATTTTCTGTGACATTTTCTGTGGGTTGTCTGTTTACTCTGTGGTTTCTCCTACTGTGTAAAAGCTTTTCTGTAGGATGGGATACCAGTTGTTGATTCTTTGTGATAGTTCCTGTCAGTTGGGTTTTGTTCATAGTCTTTGCCTACACCAATGTCTTCAAAAATTTTACTTACTCGATCTTCCAGTAGATTTAATGTTTACATTTTAGTATTCAGATTTTTGATCCATTTTGATTTTAGCTTAAGCACTACCAATATTTAACATTTTTTTGAGAAAACTGAAATTCACTCTTAGTAACTTTGAAGTTTGCAATACACTATTATTACTATGTTAACTGTATTGTGTAAAGATCTTAAATAAATACTTAAGATTGTTTAGCCTGAAATTTTCATATCCTTTTAAATATCATGTCTCTTTTTGTCCCCAGCATCTAATTATTTTAACACTTATTTGCTGACTTGATTGTATTTCTGTTACTGTCATATAAACATCTCCGTATTTCTTTTTAGTGAATTGTCTCTTTTTTTTCTTGAAGTGGCCTTAGAAATATTCATACTACTAAGAATGGCCACTATGTTGAATTTAAACACATGGCAAGTACTTCCTAACCATCTGATTTAGTCATCCATATTCTGTGAGCATGAATTTTCTATTCCTCAACTTTCATTGGAGAAAATAGACCAAGACAGGTTAGTTTCCTCAAGTCTACATAGGCAAAATAAGAAAGGGCAGAATTAGTATTTGACTTTTTCTATTATACCTAGTTTGCATTATTGCCATATTTCTTATAAATATTTTCCCCATTCTTATTTTGTTACTCACCATGCTTGCTTGTTTTGGGGTGCTGAGGGTCTAGCCCAGGGCCTTGTGCCTGCTAGTCAAGCACTCCACCCCGAGCTACACCCCAGCTTCATTCCACTCCCTCCCTTCTCCTCCCTCCCCTGGGGCCTCTGGCCTTCCTTCCCTTCTTCCTTTTGTACTGGTTTTTAACTCAGGGCCTTTACACTGAGCTATCTTCTCAAATCTCACACTTTTGTCTTTTTGAGATGGGATCTCGCTCTGCAGTTTGGGCTGGTCTTGAGCTCACTTTGTAGCCCAGGCTGGTCTCGAACTCTCAATGAGCCTCCCTACCTCAGCTGAGATTACAGGCATGCGCCACCACATCCGGCGTCAACTCTCTTAAAGTTTTATTTTTTATTTTGAGATAGAATCTCCTGAGTTTATAAGTTGCTCAGGTTGGACTTAAACTTGTAATCCTTTTGCCTTAGCCTCTCAGAGTGTTAGGGGTTATTGGCCTGTGCCACTGTGCCAGCTTTTACTGGTTTTTTTAATTAGATTTTTTTTTTATTTTACCTTTTTATTTTTTAAATCCATTTTATTCATAAATAAAAAGAAAAAGAAGAAAAACTACAACAAAGTTTTAAGGTCCATCAGTCAAGGGGTAACAATGGTACATACATTGCATATTGTCATTCCCAAATCATTCACCCAGACAGAGCACAAGACATCTGCCTTCAATTTTCTGATAAATTAGATTTTTGTTTGTTTGTTTGTTTTTTGAGACAGACAGGGTCTCTTATGCAGTTCAGGGAGTCCTTAAGCTCACTTTGTAGCTCAGGCTAGTCTCATGTGATCCTTCTGCCTCAGCTTCCTGAGTGCTGGGATTACAGGCGTGAGCTTCCACGCCCGGCTAAATCAGGTTTTTTAAAAAATATTTTTTTCATGTGTAATGAAAGTTAAATCATTGCATAATGAGATTTATGGATCTTTGGAGTATCTTTTATAGACTGTTTTTTAGCTATTTCTTTTTTTGGTACTGGGAATCAAACTCGGGACCTTGTGCTTGTCAGGCAGGCCATTGTGCCACTGAGCTATATCCCTGACCCCTGTATTAGCTATCTTTAAATTTTTTCAGTATATTGATATAAAATATTTGATACATATGTTAATTTTTACATTTGCTCATAGTGTTATGTAATTAAGCCATTATTTTTGGTTTTGATGGTTATCGTAGATCAAAAACATAGTCTATATAATCCCTTTAGATTCTTCTAAATCATTGAATCTCTTCTCTCAAATTTGCTTTCCTGCTTTTCCCTTTAGGCAAAAGGTTCTCAAAAGTACTGAGGAGCAGGAGTTGGAGAAGAGCCTGAAAATGCAACAGGAGGTGGTAGAAATGCGGAAGAAGAACGAAGAGTTCAAGAAACTTGCTCTTGCAGGAGCAGGTCAGCGGGGCTCTGCTTGAGGATTTTATGAGGGTGCTTCTTATGATCTTGGCAGAGTTTCTTTGTTCTCTGGAAAAATGATTTCTTAGTAGTCAGCACAAAAATAAGGCTGAACATGGGTCTCATTCCCAGAGATTATTCCCTTCAGTATTTCACTTGATTGGCCCTTACAGCAAGCTTTCTTTGTTTTATCAGAAAAAGGAGGATCTAGGTAGGATTGGAGCAGAGGATAAATCAGTTTATTGTTGTTATCTAGCCTCTTTCATCCTAAAGACAGGAGGGGAGCGCTGAGTCAAATCACTGTGTAGCCCAGACTGTTGCATTAAGAAGTATGCCGGAGGGGAGGGATCCCAGTCCTCTTTCACTCTGGCATAGGGTTACTGATGGAGTCAAGGTATGAAATCAAAGCATCCCGAGGATTACACAATTTCATTTTCCTGTTGGAGATGCTGAGTTAAGGTTGTTTTTAAAGTCTGTGTATAAGAGCTAGCCGTGTAGCTCAGTGGTAGAGTGCTTGACTAATGTGTGTGAGGCCACACAAAGTCAGTCTATAACTTTCCCTATCCGAGACAGCACACTGACTCCAAACCTGCGACTATACCTGGGAGATGTGATTCTTCGCTGTGGTACCTCTTTTTTTTTTTATTGGTACCAGGGATGGAACTCACGACTTACCAAGACTACCAAGATCCAGGGAGTGGACTTTTTCATCAGCCAGTTTGAGGGGATGTATGTAGAGATGCTGATTCAGAAATCTGTCTGACCTGATGCAAACCAGAAGCCAAGTCAGTTTTTTTTTTTTTTTTTTTTTTAAATGGGCTTAGAATAGGATACTTCTGCAAATTTTTTCCTTGAAGGCCAAAAAAGCTTGCTCTTTATTGCTTCAAAACATTGGCATGCTTAGGAAAAGTGCATATATACTATTGCAAGGCAGGTGCTTATGCTGCTGAGCTAAATCCCCAGACCCTTTTTATTCTTTTTTTTTTTTGGTATCTCTTTTGTTTGCAAACCTGATAAAATTCAATGACTATGACACATGTGTTAGTATCTCAGAGGAGTCTTTTGGGTATGGAGTTACATATAGGTAGTGAATAAAATTAGATCCATGATAATTGAAATAGCGAAAGATAGAGTAAGAAAGAGGGTTTATTGATGTTTTCTGTTCTTTTTTTCCTGTTTTGTTTTTGAGACTTGTTGCTGTGTAGTTTAGGCTGGCCTTGAACTCACTGTGTTGTCCAGACTGTCCTCAAACTTGTGGTGATCTTCTTGCCTCAGCTCTTCTTGCTGGGATCGTAGGCATGAGCCACCATGCTTGGTGCTAATGTTCTCTATTCTTAATGTTCTCTGTATGTCTCTCTGCTCTTTAGGGCAACCAGTGAAGAAATCAGCGAGCCAGGTAACTAAAGCAGTTGACTTTCACTTCTGCACAGATGAGCGAATCAAAAAACACCCTAAGAACCAGGAGGAGTATAAGGAAGTAAACTTTACAGCTGAACTGCGAAAGCATATTTCAACTCCTGTAAGTTGATGGGGTTAGATGAATATTCTTGTTACTAATTCGGTTCAGATTTCAGGTATCACAGTTGTGGTTAGTAATGACAATAGATTAGTTGAAAGAAGGTTTTTTTGTTTTTGTTTTGTTTTTTAAGAGTAGTAAGAATTTATTGAGAAAGACATCTTCTGAGAGGGACAGAAGAGGGCCCAGAAAGTGGGTTGCCCAAGAAGCGTATGTTTTGAATTAAGCCATGTAAATCTTCTTTAAACTGTGATCTTGGACAAATCACTTTACCTCTGGGAATCCTCTTACCAAAGTGCTATGAAAATTAAATTAAGGTACATAAAGCACATAAAATGATATGCAGGAACTTGTAGGTAATAGCATTTCTGCTGCTTCAAAATTGGGAAAATCTTGTGTCTGCACAGTTGTGTAGAAAATACGACAAGACTTAGGGGAAAAAATTGGGTTCCCATATACTTTTATAAAGAGAGGTCCAATGAAAACAGTGGCAGTCATAAATAAAGATTCTAGAACTTAGTCTACTCATACTTGTTGGGATTAGTTAGTCTTTTGTAATCTTAAGCCTAGAGTATGTGCTCTTGCTTTTCAGCTATGTCTTTGAAAAGTTTGATTTCAGCCAGACGGCAGTCTTAGCAAGACTTACCAAGATCCAGGGAGTGGACTTTTTCATCAGTCAGTTTGAGGAGATGTATGTAGAGATGCTGATTCAGAAATCTGTCTGACCTGATGCAAACCAGAAGCCAAGTCAGTTTTTTTTTTTTTTTTTTAAATGGGCTTAGAATAGGATACTTCTGCAAATTTTTTCCTTGAAGGCCAAGAAAGCTTGCTCTTTATTGCTTCAAAACATTGGCATGCTTAGGAAAAGTGCATATATACTATTGTGAATGAATGATTTGCTGAGTGCTAGATCACTTCTTAAGAAAAAGCAAGCAAGCCAGCCAGCCTGTAATCACAATATTTGGTAACTTGGGGGAGACTGAGGCAGGCGGATGATGAGTTCAAAGTCAGCCTAGAGTTAGAACCTGTCTCCCAACAAAGATGAAAGACTGTTTATAATCCTTGCTGAAGGACTGACAAACTTCAGAATATAATTATCTTGGCTTTACTTAGTCTTTTTATTTTGATCACTCTAAATGTGTGGTTTGTGGTAGACTGTGGTGTTGTATAACATTTCAGCTGGGGAATAACTTTTCTCTTTACAGAGTCGAGTGGCAAAGGGGTGTACCATTATTAAGCCTTTCAACTTGTCCCAAGGAAAAAAGAGAACGTTTGACGAGGCTGCTTCTACCTACGTGCCTCTGGCACAGCAGGTTGAAGCGTTCCATAAACGAACTCCTAACAGATATCATTTGAGGAGCAAGAAGGAAGATTTTGGTAAGTTTCCTACCAACATCATTGCTGACCGAGGCCTCCCCTAAAATTTTTAACACAGGAGTATTGTTCTTTCAGTGGGTGATGGAAGAGGAATGTGAGTAAACGCTGGTGGGTTTACAGATACAGAGTATACAAGGGATTTCTAATTTAATAGTTTCTGTCTTTATGAAAATAATTTCTGTAAAATAGTAAGAAGTGAGGGTTAGAGATGGTATAAAATTAGTTGCCAAGAGAACAGTCCTGGAATTTGTTGTTTGTTTGTTCTTTTTGAGACAGTTTTGCTATGCAGGTCAGGCTAACCTTGAACTCACTTTGTAGCTCAGGCTGGCCTCGAATGATCCTTGCAATGATCCTCCTGACAGCCTCCCAAGTGCTGGCATTACAGATGTGTGCCACCATGCTCCACAGGCCTAGTATTTGTATTCTTTTTCTTCTTTCTTCTTTTTTCTTCTTCCTACTTTGTCTTTTTTTTTTTTTTTTTTATACCAGGAATCAAAGTTAGGACCTCATGCTTGCCAGGCAGACCCTGTGCCATTGTGAGCTATATCTCTGGCCTAGGCCTAGTATTGGTGATAAAGCAGAATGTGGTTGTTTTGCCTTTGAAGTCTCTAATTTTTTTTTTCCCTCTTTGGATAGGCTTTGTTGAGCACTACATGAGGTAGCCACACAAGTTCCTCTAAGTATAGCATTTGATTTTGTCAGACTTTGTATTATGAAAATAATGTGTCTCTTATTTACTCTTATGGAAATATGTATTACACATGACTTTTCAAGTAAGGTGACTCTGAGATTTAGTCTGATATGCTCTGCTTTTTGGAATCTGATTTCTTTCAAATAAAAAGAAAATTATTTCATGCAATTTTTATTTAAAATTTTGTACAGTTAAATAGCTAAATTATAGTTATATGTTATATTTTGAAGCATGATTTTTTTTTTTTTTTTTTTTTTTTTGTACTGGGAATCAAACTCATGACCTCATGCTTGCCAGGCAGGTCTTTATGCTGCTGAGATATGTCCTTGGCCCATTTTTATTTGGATTTTTGAGACAGGGTCTTGCTTTATACTTTAGGCAGGCCCTGAACACTCTACGTAGTTCAGGCTGGCCTCAAACTCATGGCAGTCCTCCTGCCTCTGCCTCCTGAATGCTGGGATTGTTAAGTGTGCACCACCATGCCCAGCAGCATTGCTTATTTCTAAAAAAGTAAATTTGATTTAGATATGCCATTACTTAGTGATAAGATCTAAATTAGAGGAATCATTCTAAATAATTATGTCAATTGATAGGTTTATCACTGGCCAGGTAAGTCAGTATTTTCTATGAGTGTTAGTGATTGTCTTAATACTGTGACAATGGCTTTTTACTTCCTTCATTTGACAGTTAGTCTTGATGCTTTGATACACAGATATTCCTCATTTAACTACCAACCTGTTGACTCAACCTGCCACTCAGACATATGACTTACCCTTTTTTTGGGGGGGGGGTACAGTTCTGTACATCTTGTAGATCAAACTGGCCTTGAGCTCATTTTGTAGCCCAGGGTGGTCTTGAACTTGCAATGACCCTCCTACCTCAGCCTCCCAAGTGCTGAGATTACAGGCATGTGCCACCATGCCCAGTTTAATATCTTTTTTTTGGTATAGTACACCTTGTTTATACAGTACTGTAATTTTTGTTGAATGTACTGTAAAGTAACCATAGTTTTGTGTTCTTACAGTACTGCATGTAAGATTATGCAAAGAAAAGTAAAATCATCAAGTTGGAGTTTCCTTTGACCATTTCTTTGTTCTGAATATTGTAATGTACATATATGTAGGAGTTTTTGTTTAGCAATGAATTCATTTGATGACCTCTTTGCAGGAATTGAACTTAGTCTCTGAAAGAGGAATGTCTATAGATGCTTTTTAGGAAATTTGTAAAGTTGAGAGTTTATCACTTGGTCTTTGGTGTTTTTCATCTTGTGTCATTTATAAAAATTGTATTTGTCAATAACAAGCAAAATAGTTGGTGTTGTCATTGCAAACTGTGCAAATATTAAGGAACCCATCAGACAGGCATGGGTTTTAATTTTAGGTGGTGACACTAGAATTTGCCCATGGGCACACTCTCAGTAAAGAGTGACAGGAAGAAGCGAATAACATTGTCCAGTTGACTGGTGTCTACCAAGCTGAGTGTGGAGGACCAGCTGCTCCAGTTTGCTTATCTATCCTCGGGTCTGCACTGTTGAATCCATGCTCACGGGTAATGCAGATGCTATGAACGAGGTGAATGTCTGTGATTTGTTTTCCAGCCCTGGTACCCTCCAAGACTTCTGTGACCAAGATGGCGACAGAGCCACAGACCCCTGTGCTGCAAACCAAACACCGGGCAAGGCCTGTGACCTGCAAAAGTGCAGCAGAACAGGAGGCAGAAGAGCTTGAGAAACTGCAGCAGTAAGTCCCACTGGCAGTGTTTGCAAAGAGTTCCAAGAAACCTGCGTGTTTGCTCACCGTCCTGTGAGAATGACAGTTGCTATTTTCCTGTCCTGAACATCTGTGTCAGTTGAGCAGTAGCTGTGCAGGCTGTGCCCCTTCCTGCCTGTGTGATGAAAGGCCTGCAAGTGGGAATATGGAAATAATCTGTGCTGTAAACTTGTAGAAATCCAGCTCAAGGTTGGAATGGGAGGACTTTCTTAAAGTTCCAATTAAGGAATATCCTCTATGGTTAGGTTAGGTAAATTCTCATTGTATGACTGCCTAAGGGATTTTTTAATAGGTATTGTCAGTGGAGGAAGCTAGAGCTTAATTGTTAGCATTGGAGCCTATTTTCTTTCTTTCTTTGAACCCGATAAATATACGAAATTTTGCCAATTAAAAATAGGTAAATATTTTTTTAAAAACATGCGAAATTTTAAAAACCAGTGATAAAATACAAATTATATGATTTTCCCCCTGTATTGGTTCATATTAATTACACATATTAAAGGGTTTCATTTCAGCAAATTTGTCCATGCACATAGTGTACTTTAATCATTTCTCCCATATCATTCCCTTTCTCCTACTCTCTAGTTTCACTTAATTTTTGAAGGGAGAGTTAATATATATAATGGTTTTTCATCATATTCATTTCCTTTATTACTCGTCCTTATACCCTTTCTCCCTATTTCCCTCCCTCTTTTCTGATACCCCTAAATAAGACCTAGCCAGACAATATCAGCCTTGAAAATTAGAGATCAAAAAGACCAACCTCAATCAGCCTAGCCTTGCCTCACCTGCCATTCCTGTGTTGCCTTATTGGGCTGGCATTTTTGATCCCTAGTTTCCAAGCTAGATCTTATTTGGGGGAAACAATGCAGTAGTCTTCATTCTACTTTCTTGTCATCTTAGAACATGTGACTTTTGTCTTCCTGAGTCTGGCTTATTTTGCTCAATAATGGTAGTCTCCAGAACCATCCTATTTATTTTGCTTTTATTTTACTGTGTTTTGAGATAAGGCCTTGCTTTGTATTTTAGGCTGGGGCTGTTCTTGAACTCACTACTTAGCCCAGGTTGGCCTTAAACTCAAACTTAGACTAAAAAGTGATTCTGTTCTTTCTCCCAAGTGCTGGGTTTTATAGGTGTGCACCACCACACACAGTTGGATCTATGTATTTTTCTGCACATGGCAATCTTTTTTATGGCTGAATAGTACTCTATTGTGTATATATAACACATTTTCTTTATTCATTTGCTGTTGGGTGCCTAGAGCAATGTCTTCACTATTGTGCCTCAGTAAACATAACCATGCAGGTGTCCTATAATATTCTAACTTTAATTGCTTCAACTATATACCAAGGAATGGTATATGTACATCAAATGATAGCTATAGTTTCAGTTTTGGGGGTGTCTCATATGGGTTTCCATAGTAGCTGTGCTAATTTTCATTCTATTCAGCAGGGTAGAAAGTTCCTTTCCCCATCCCTATTCTTGATAATGCTTATGTTGTTTGTGTTTTGTTTTGTTTTGTTTTTGAGACAAGATCTCACTGTGTAATCCACACTGGCCTTGAACTTGGGGTGGGTGATCCCTTTGCCTCAGTTTCCAGTGGTGGGATTATAGGCATGTGCCGCCATCTCCATTGCTTTTTTTTTGTATTCATGCTAATAACCACTCTGACTGGGATGACATAGAATCCGAATTTTGTTTTTCAAGTCCATTTCAACTTTTGTTTTGAGGAGGGGAACTTCCTGTATGAGAAGGATCCTTAAAATGGTGGCAGTGTTAGATCTGACTAATTTGGAACAGTAAAGACAGTAGCTGTGCAGACAGTGGACATTTTACTGTGCATGCTAGATCATCTCGATGACTAGTTTTTGTTCCACTTAGTTGTTTACTTAGTTTTCATTTAATTTAAGTTTGTTTTGTAGTTATCATTTAAACTTCTACCTTGCAGGTACAAATTCAAAGCACGAGAAATTGATCCCAGGATTTTGGAAGGTGGGCCCATCTTGCCAAAGAGACCACCTGTGAAAGCACCCACTCAGCCTATTGGCTTTGATTTGGAAATTGAGAAGAGAATCCAGGAGCGAGAGTCAAAAAAGAAATCAGAGGAGGATGAACACTTTGAATTTCATTCCAGACCTTGCCCAACTAAGATCTTGGAAGATGTTGTGGTAAGAATAGCTGAGGCTTTGCATGCTGGCCGGAGTATCCTGCCGTGACCAGATACCCACTGACCACGGGTGTTCTCGCTAGTACAGCAGATAAGTAGGAGCAGGATAAGGAGCTAGAAATGATAAAATGACATAAAAATGATTTTTTTCCTTAGGATTTAAAGTCCGATAATAAAGAGAGCATATATGTAAATAAACGAGATTGGCAGAAGTATTTTGAGAGAGTTGACAGTGTATGGTGCTATACAAATTCAGAGGAGAGAATGATTTCTTCCAGATAGAAGGTTTGTGGAGGAGGTAGCATTTGCCCTGAGCCTTGGCAAGGTTTAGTTGTCATCTTTGTGTTGCTGTTGTTGTTATAACTGACACTTGTGCTCTGTGTCAGGCACTGCTTTATACCCTTTTCCTGTGTAGTCATCCTTAGCAACTGGGGAATTGGTTATAGATCCTCTGTGATGCCAGATTCACCAGATGCTCAAGTCCCTCATGTAAGCTGTTGCATCCATTTTCATATGAGTTACACAGTTATTGTATGCGGTGTTTTTTGAGATGCTTAGTTGGCCTCAAACTCCTAGATTCAAGTCTCCTGAGTAGCTGTGACTGGAACACATGACACCACACTTCAGCTTACTCTTCTCTTCTCTTTTTGGTTGTTTTAGGGCCAGACATAAGGCATTATGTTGTGGTTTTATTAAAAACCACAACATATTGCCTTATTCTGTGTTTATTCTGTGTCCTTAGCACTCAGTCATAGTTATATTTCCCAGGCCTTATAAAATTCATGATTATGTCTAGAAAGTTTTCTTTCCCTATATTTTCTTTCAGTTGAGAGCTCTTTCTTTTCTTTTCTTTTCTTTTCTTTTCTTTTCTTTTCTTTTCTTTCTTTCTTTCTTTCTTTCTCTTTCTTTCTTCCTTTCTCTCTCCCTCTCTCCCTCTCTTTCCTTCCTTCCCTCCCCAATTTTAAAGCACATGTACTACAGTCCAAATTCTGTTAGCAACAAACTTTAAGGGCCTCCCCCTCCAGCACTTGTGTGATTGCTATCTAAGAGCTGGCTTTTGCTTTCTTTGTCATTTTATGCTTAATGAACAGGGCACTGAATATGACAGGGCAAGGTAGGTTGTATGGAAACCTCAGGTTCTGGAGCCATAAGGGATCTGCATGATTTTATATGTTCATCTGTCCCATCTAGCCGTCCATCCGTTATAGTACTGGGAATTAAACCCAGGGCCTTCTGCCAACAACTTGGTATGTTCATTTTAGTTTTTTGTTATTGGTTATTGTGGTATTTTGTTTGTTTGTTTTTGTCTTTGTCTTTGGTATAGGATCTCATTTTGTAATTCATTGTGGCCTTTAACTCACTATGGAGCTCAGGCTGGCCTTGAACTCACAGCAGTCCTCTTGCCTCAGCCTCCTGAGTGCTGGCATTACAGTCATGCACACCACTATGACTGGCCTTGTGTTTGTTTTATATATGGGTCAGAGAAAGTATTTCTTCAAGACTTTTTTTTTGTACTAGGAAGCGAACTCAGGACCTTGCACTTGTAGGCAGGTGTTGTGCCACTGATCTGTATCCCCAGCCCTCTTCAAGACTTTTATAACAATCATTTGGCATTGTTTTGTTTTGGTTCTGGGGTCTCATACATGCTAGACATGCACTTTACCACTGAGCTGCATCCCCAGCCAACAATCATTTAGTACCTGCTTTTAATTACATTTATTTATTTATTTATGACATTTTTATCTCTTGGCTCTTGGCTTTTCCACCTCCTATACAGTTGTGGTTTTTTTTTTTTTTTTTTTTTTTTTTTTTTGCACTACACTTAGTTTTTACTATATTTTTAAACCCAGCTTAAAAATCACTTCAATTTGTAAGTTAGAGTAATTTTAATGGGAACCTTTAAATGAATACATAAGTGGAAAACTAGTAGTTTTTGTCATGATTGACATAATAATAGCTAACATTTACATAAAGCTTGTTGTATACTAGGTTTTTATTCTAAACTCTTTATATAATAATTCTCACCAGCAGCTCTGAAGTAAATCTTGTAGATACTTTTATTGATACATTTTATAATTAGGAAACAGTAGTAAAATAACTTGTCTAAGATCACAGACTAGCCAGTAGCAGAACTAGGATGAGAATCACAGGATCATAAGCAATCCCAATGCTCATGCTTTTCAGAATAGGTTTTGGAGTTTAGATTTCATGTTGTTGGTTTTCCGCTTTTTTGTGGTTCTAGGAGTTGAACTCAGGGCTTCATATGTGCTAGGCAAACATTCTACCACTACCCTGTATCCCCAGCCTGAAGGGAGCCCTTACAGCAGATGATTTGTCTTACACTCTGGAAAGCCAGCATGAAGTGAGAAGTGAGGAGTGGTGACTAGCGTTCACTAAGAGCTGGTTATCTAAAAATAGCACTGTTCCTGCTTATAGTGAGAATTCTGAGTGAACAGATCCAGAAAGCACAAATAGGTAAGGTGTTACTGAATTAATGTGGTGAGCTAAAGAAAAATGCTCACTGAATCCAGCTGGTTGTCAGAATCCTGTGGGCTCCTATTATGTTAACCAATTCCTGGGTCTCAGCCCTAGAGTTTTGGTTTACTGAGCGCAGTGTAGAGGGAGCTCAGGAGAAGAATTTAGAGTATAGTGCCTGATGCACAGTAAGCGGTCATGTTGTTAATAATAATTGCCGTTTTATTGAGTGCCTGCATTGTTCTGAGAGCTTTATGTGATCTTGTTTTTTTGTAAGAGCTCTATTCTTATCTCTACTTAAAAATTTTTTTGAAATTATTTTTTTGGTGCATTTTAGATATATATAGTATCCCTGGTTGTTTTGTTCTGTTTTTGTGTTTGTTTGTTTTTGAGACAGGGTCTCACTGTGCAGTTCAGGCTGGCCTTGAATTAACTGTAACCCAGGCTGGCCTCCAACTCTGTGATCTTCCTGCCTCAGCCTTCTAAGAGCTAGAGTTACAGGCGTGCACTAACATGCCTGCAGTATCCCTATATTTTAAGATGAGTGAACTGACACTAAGAGATATCTACTGTGCAGAACTAGTATTTGAGCTCTTTATTTTCATAAACAGTATATTATTCTATCCCACAATACTTAATATTATTGTTTCTTTGGACTGCAGCTTTTGAATTTGACACTGGCTGTTTGCCAGTTCTGTTCTAAAATTTTAATCCAATTCTTAGTTTCTTTTTTTGTGGGGGGAGAGACAGTCTTGATATGTAGTGTAGGCAGGCCCTGAATTTGCTTATGTAGCCTAGGTTGGCCCTAACTCACAGTGACCCTCTGCCTCAGCCTCCCAAGTGCTGGGATTACAGGACATGCACTACCATGCCCGGCTTAATTCTTGGTTTCTAGAGAAGCGAATCATAGGACATTTGATGTGTATTTACCCCTCCCCGCCTTTCCTGGTTCAGAGGATCGAACCTAGATCCTTGCACATGCTAGGCAAGTGCCCTACCACTAAGTTATATTCCCTAGCCCTTTTTTTGTTTTGTTTTTGTTTTTAATATTTTAGATTACCTGTTTTTAAGGATCTTTTTTTAGATTACCTGTTAATTAATTTGGCATTGGGACTCGAATTAATAACTTCATGCTTGCCAGGCAGGTGTGTCGCTGAGTTGTATCCTTGGACCCTTGTTTATGTTGTTTTGAGATAGGGTCCTGCTATGTATCTCAGACTGGCCTTGAACTCACTGTGTAGTCCAGACTGACCTCCCCTTGCAGCAGTGCTCCTGCCTTAGCCTCCCAAATGCTCCGATTACAGACATATACCACCATACCCAGCTCCCAGGCCTTTTAAAATTTTATTTTGAGATGGGATCTTGCTAAATTGCCCAGGCTAGCCTTGTATTTAACCTTGTCTCAACCTCTTGAGTAGCTGTGATTATAGTTGTCACGTAGTTATACCCTCATTTTCCAGAAAAGTAGTCTTTGAAAGAGGAATTGACTTCCCCGTAGGAACAGTTTTAAGAGTTGGTGGAAGAACTGAGATTAGGTCTTAGACAGGGGCTGATGTGGCATGTCTGCTGCTACCGTCATTCTCATCCATGCCCGAGTGCTGAAGTTTCGCTTCCTTGTGTCCTCACAGTGCATCTTGTGGTGTCTCACTTGGGGATGGTAGATGGCACCAGTGAGAGATGGGTGTGGGCAGCTGTGCACCATGAGGCAGAGACAGCTCCGGGAAGAGGTGGAGGAATGAAAACTTTGAGCATGGGGATGTGAAATGTGAACTTGGTGCCAGCTCATAACCGGGGTTGGGGCACCTGGAGGTGATGTAATGTCAGTGAGGGCAGCGAGTAATTTTAGCAGAGATATTTAGAGGTGACTTAGGGAAACCAGCAGCCTCCCCCCACCCCCATGTTCCCTGAGATAACATTGCTTCATGGTAATTTCTTAACTGGTCTGGGCCAGGCCTGAGAGCTTGTGCCAGGGCACATAGGGGCATTTCCTGCCTTAGAGAAAAGTGTTCCTCCTCATCTCCCATCCGCCTGCCTCTCTGACATGTATAATCTCTTCACCTGATGGCCCACTTGTGACCACACACACATCCCTTCTTCCTGATTATGCATCCCTTCTTCACAGGTACCCTACCTAACTTTCCCTAATAGCTTTTAGCTCTATATTCTGCTGCATTGAGGACAATTATGAAAATTAGGGGGTATTTATTACTTACTCATTGTCTCTTTTTTTCCCCACTGGAACGTGGGAACTCGTTGAAGACAGAGCCTATGTATATCTATATTGATCACTCTATCCTCAGACCTTACATAGTGATGTGACAGTACAGATTGACATGTATCAGCACATGTTTCTAGCTTATTAGACATCAGGAATTCAAATATGGGATAAGACATAATCCTGGTCTTTTTTTTTTTTGGTACCGGGGATTGAACTCACAACCATGATCTTGCAAGGCAGTCACTTCTGCCGCTGAGCTAAATCCCCGGCATAACCCTGGTCTTCAAAGCTTGCACAGCCTGGTAGAACAAATTGACATGTAAGCAAATAAATGCAGCAGTAATAACCAATACATGCTTAGTTCCCCAGGTCCTTCTGTGAATGCTGCGGAGAAGACAAAGGCAATATCCCGGCCTTCAAGGAGCTCATAATTCAGATTTACAATAACAAAATAAGAAGCTTTCCCTTTTTTTGGAAACATGATTGCTTTCCTGAATTTCGGATTGAGGCCCATTCAGCTTTTTATTGCCATGGAATGTGCACTGCACATTCCATCGCTGCAGTGATCATTTTCATAAAACATTTTTCCTGCCCCAGCTAATTATGAAACTTCACAAATAGTTACTTCATGGCTTATTTACTAGAGATTTCCTTTATTTGTCTTTTAAAATGCAGATCTCTCTGCTGGTTGGGTGAGGAGAGAAAGAAAAAATAGGAAAGGGGGATTATTTTAGAACTAAATGAGCCCTTATTTATTTTGATTATTTTATGAAAAATCTTGAGGCTTAGAAGGGTGCCTGATGTTCCCGTTACACAGGTTGGAAACAGAGTTGGGACAGAACAAGACCCCTGGCTCCCTGTCATTGTTCTTTATATTTCCACATACAAGCCAAGGTATGCTGGTGTCCACCTTTCCAGGATACGATAGAAAAGCACATTTTTGTTATTATTTGTGATAAGAATCATTTGAAAACACATCTCTTAGAATTCTGATTCCAAGGTCTGGTAACTTGGATTTCACTATTCTGAGTGATAGCTTTCTTTACAAAAGAAGAAATCTCACAGCAGAATAGCATTCCCTTTGTAGTGCTCACCTAGAGACACCGTATCAGGATCCTTTCCAGTGATTGTGATGTTGCACAGCACATTCTGCAAAACTACTTGTCTTGTTGCTGAGGTACAATCTTTTGGATCTCTGTGTGATGGCAAATATTCATGTTTTGAAGATTAGTTTGCATTTAAAAGCTAGTCTAAAAGTATTTGGGACTAACCTTTTAAAAATATTTTTAACTAAAACTTTTGAGTAGTAAAAAGATACGGAGGCAGAAATAGTTACGTTACAGTAAAGGTAAAGATGGAGCAATTGTCTTGCATGGTCCAAAAAGTGGCCACTCCAAGAAAGACATTGCAGACGTGTTTTGAGCAGTTGTAGCATTGTTGGGATTAAGAAGTCTCCCAAGGTATCCTCATAGAGTCCAAGGTATAAATTCTCATGTGTTCGTTCTTACTGCATTCATTTAACAGACATTTCTTGAATGCTTTATACTTGCCAAGGTCTTATGTTAAGTGCTTGGGATTGATGGAATAAAATAGCGCCCATCCTTGAAGCACTCATAAGCTAGGTGGGGGAGATGAGTGTCTAAGTAAGTAAGTATAATGAAGTCTTATATATGTACAGTCATGTCACCTTATATTTACAGATTGCGCATGTGCAGATTTAACCAACTCTGGATAGACATATTTGTGGGGAAAAAAATTACATGAGTACCAAGCCTGTATAAACTGTTTTTCTTGTCATTACTCCCTAAACAATACAGTATAATAACTATTGATGCTGTATTTGTATTGTATTAGGTACTATAAGAACCTGGACTGGCCAGGCATGGTGATGCATGCCTGTAATTCCCATACTTGGGAAACTGAGGCAGGAGAATTGTTGTGAGTTTGAGGCCAGCCTGGGCTACAAAGTGAGTTCTAGGCCAGCCCAAACTGCAGAGCAAGACCCTGTCTCAAAAAGAGAGAAAAAAAACCTAGAGATGACTTAATGTACCTAAGGAAGATATGGGTAGGTTGTATGCAAATACTGACCCTTTTTATATAAGGAATTTGAACATTTGTGGATTTTCATACCCATGAGGGATCACTTCTGTGGGTTCTGAGAGTAGAGAGGCCAGTTGTCATGATACAGGAACTTCGCTTTGAGGGGAGAGGCTATTTGGATATCTAATTGAGTTGTGTGCTCCTTGCAGGGTGTTCCCGAAAAGAAGGTTTTTCCCGTCACTGTTCCCAAGTCTCCAGCATTCACACTGAAGAACAGAGTCCGATTGCTTGCCAGGGAAGACGAGGTGATTTCCTGGAGTGGGATTTTCTGTTTCCTTCTGAGGCGGTCTGAGGCTTACCTTTTCACCTTCCTCCCTTCCTCCCTTTCTTTCTCCCTCCCTCTCTTTCTCTCTCCTGTCTCTTTTTTTCTTTCACAAAACCTGGGGCCTCATGCATGCTAGGCAAGAATTCTGCCACAAGCTGCTCTCTACTCCTCGGCCTTAGCATCTTTTAAATGTAATGGAGATCAAAGGCAGCGGTTATTTTCTCATCTGTTTTGCTCCTCTGAGAGCAAAGTAGTTGTTAAGTTACAAATCATCTGCATCTCAGTAATAACCATTTACAATTTATAGAAACAGTGTGGAAGAGTTGGCATTGTAGGTGATCTGTTTCTGTAGCATTGAAACCAGCCTATCTTTGAGAGTAAGTTGCCAAGCCCTGTACTTTATTTTGCCAGAGTTATTGTCATTATTCAGTGTGGAACTTTTAAAATGAGTAGTTCCACCTGCCTTGTCCTATCATCATTAATAGAAGGACCGCAGAAATGGCTGTGTGGTCATGGCTCGTGAAATTATAACACAAACTGCCATTGATATACTAGTTTCTAATTACATCTCCCATTTTATCTATAAATATCCAGAGTTAGGGTAATTTTATAGCAGATATCAAGCAAAGCCTTTTTATAGTTTCATTTGAAACTAAAATACACAGTAATCTTATGTTACCAGTTTGAACCCAAACAACTTACTTAGTCCTATTCTGGGTTTGGCTACTATTAACTCATGTCACATGTTTTAGTGAGCCTGGAGACTGGGTCAGAGAAGAGGTGAAGATGTATGTTTGGTTAGTACTTTGCTTCTAAGTGTCATTTTATTTATGCTGACTTACTTTGTTAAGTTCTTGGAGTATTTCTGTGAAAAACTTTATATCGGTTAGTCCCTTATTAATGGCTTTCACGTTGCTCTCAGCCCTGTGGTGTGGTAGCTGATTTTGCCATTATCCTTCTTTGATAAAAATAAAACTAAGACCCACATTTGAGTGACTTGTCTCATGCAGTATCTTCTGACTGTGTATTCTGAAGAGGTGGGAGAGAGTAACAAGTCTTATTTCTGAACTACAATTTCTCTCTTAGGAAGAGGATGAACCAGTAGTGATAAGAGCTCAACCTGTGCCACATTATGGGGTGCCTTTTAAGCCCCATAACCTAGAGACGAGAACTGTAGCAGTATGCCCTTTCTCCTTTGATTCTCGGGACAAAGAACGCCAATTACAGAAGGAGAAGAAAATAAAGGAATTGCAGAAAGGGGAGGTAGGTATTTCCATTTCTGCAAGTAGCTTAATACCATTCTTTTATCCCTCATGGGTAACCTTTCATGTAATACTTAACTAAAATTCTCCTTCCTTTGATCCTTCTAAGAGTTGAATAAAATGTAAATAGGGCAACTAATTTAAATAATTTTTCTGGCTCAAAGACGTTAAACAACGCCTCTGATCATACTGCTCAAGTTGTTGGCCAGATTGTAAGGAAAACCTAGGTTTTCTTTTGGGCCCGTTACTCTTTTCTGTTGGACCATACTGGTTTGAAAACTGCTCATCCCTGCCTGTCCAGTTCGCCCACATACTGGGATACAACTGTTGCTTTCTAGCTAGAGAAGTTTGCCTCTTGAGTCACATGTTTTTGTTTTCTTTTGTTTATTTTCATTAGGTACCCAAGTTTAAGGCACTTCCCTTACCTCATTTTGATAGTGTTAACCTGCCAGAGAAGAAGGTAAAGAACGTGACCCAGACTGAGCCGTTTGACCTGGAAACTGACAGAAGAGGCGCTAAGAAGGCTCAGACATGGAAGCACCAGGTGGAGAAGGGCGAGCAGCCCAGATGTTGGTTGTTGGTTAGACAGCAGGCCCTTGGCATTGAAATCACCGCAATGAAAGAAGTATTGCGGTATACCCTATCTAAACCAGGGCTCAGCACTTTTGTTTGGAAAGCACCAGGTAGTAAATATTTTAGGTTTTATGGTCACATGTGGCCTCTGCCTTTGTTACATATTCATGCATATGTGTATATTTTCATCCCTTTAAAAATCAAAAACTATTCTTAGCTCAAGGGCTGGACAAAAAGTTTACAAGCTGAATTTGACTTATAAGCTAAAATTTGCTGACCCTCTTTTAAGTGACTACTTGAGAAATGTAAAAGCTGTGGCTTTCTGTGAGTCTATAAGATTTCATCCACTCTAGTTGTTAGATTTATAAATTAAATACTGTATTACTCCTTTCTGTTGGTGTTTTTGGTAAGTAACAGACTGGGAGAATAGGTTCTTTATGTAATACACTGTTTTCTCAGCATGGTATGGAACATACTTGTTCTTTATAGTTACTAAGTAATTATAAATAAATAATTGGATCCAGGCAGAGTAGCACACACTGTAGAGAGCCCTTCCCAAACCTCTTCGCAGTCTGGGAAGTTTATATTTGTAATCCCAGGAGAAAGTTACTGGAATTCTAGCGAGTTAATTCCAATCTACCACTTCCAGCATGATCCATGGCGAGAATAAAGACGCTAAGACATATTTATAGTTCGGGGGAGCAAGTCCAGCCAGGATGAAAGTTCGCTGGAACAAAGGCCTTGACCCAGGGCCCAAGCCAGGTTTTCTTCATTCTTGAAGTGAGTGGCTCGCCTGTCTGACAGACTTTCTTTCTAACAGCTGGAGGAAGAACTGAAACAGCAGAAAGAAGCAGCTTGCTTCAAGGCCCGTCCCAACACAGTCATCTCCCAGGAGCCCTTCGTTCCCAAGAAAGAAAAAAAATCAGTCGCTGGTAGTATTCTCTGTACTGTTGTGGGCAGAACTGTCAGACTTCTCTGCAGAATGCAGACTCAGTTGTGGGAGTTTAATGCAGCATAAAGCAGAAGTGTTGGACTTCAGAGGATGGTAGCTTTTCCTTCCCCTAGACCCAATCTTTAACCGCTGTTGACCTTAGTGTGGCTCTGTTGAGTTACCGAATGCATTGTGTCCAGACTGATATAACGTGAGCCTTAGCAGAACCAGCTGGCTCTTCAACAGCATTTATGGGCTGCCTCACCTGAAGAGTGAGTGAACGAGAGGGAGAGCTGGGAGGTCTTCTCAGAGTTGACCTCGAAGGAAGCCTTAGATATAAGACACTGGATTCCTCAGGCACTGGGCAGTGTTTGGTTAAAGGTTAGGATTGTTCTACATCTGTTTTAAAAATCACGGGGCTGGGGATTTAGCTCAGCGGTATAAGCGCCTGCCTTGCAAGCAGGCAGTCGTGTGTTCGATCCCTGGTACTGATAAAAACGAAAAAGCCAAAAAAAAAAAAAAAAAAAAATCACTGTAGTGTTTTGTTTTGTTTTGCTTTTTTTGTCTTTTTGAGACAGGATCTTGCCATACAGTTCAAACTGGCCTTAGGGTCACTTCTTAGCCCAGGCTAGTCTCAAACTTACAATGATCCTCTTGCCTTAGTCTACCGAGTATTGGGGTTACAGGAGTGCACCACTATGTCCCAAGAAATCACTGTAGTTTTGAGCAAGCTGCTTTACCTCTGGGTTTTGCTTTTCTCCCATTTATACTAAGGTTTTACATGGGCCCTTCAACTCTTAAAATTGTAGGACTCCCAACTTTTTCCTTAATGGACTTCCTTAGAGCTCAGCTTTTTATTGCTTTCCATGTCTTGGCCAGTTAGTTCAATCCGGGGTTGGGGTAGGGGCTCGGGTAATGGAATTTTTGCTTGTGTACTAGTTTTTTCTCTGTTTCTGTACTCAGAGGGCCTTTCTGGTTCTCTAGTTCAGGAACCTTTTCAGTTAGCCACTGAGAAGAGAGCCAAGGAGCGGCAGGAGCTGGAAAAGAGAATGGCTGAAGTGGAAGCCCAGAAAACGCAGCAGCTGGAGGAGGCCAGGCAGCAAGAAGAAGAACAGAATAAGGAGGAGCTGGCCAGGCTACGGAAAGAACTGGTAACTGGGCAGCATGAACACTGACTAACCCAGGGTTGTCTTTTGTGTTCTCTGACCATGTTGCATTGTAGACAGGATCTGCAGTAGCTTGCAGAGCAGCATCAAAGGCAAGTGAGTGGAAGATGTCATCCCCCTGAGGCTAGGAGGAGGCTAAGATGGACACGAAGCACATGTGTATGTGGTGATCTAAGGAAGAGCTATGAGTTTTGGCTCTTGAGGAACCAACCTGTCAGTTGTGAAACGACACCAGTTGTCCAAAATACACATTTATTTTTAACATTGAATGTAGACACGATTTCTTCCAGAGGTCTGTGTAAGAAGCACATTGTGTGCTATCCACATGTACAGTGATGCATTTCCTAGGACTTTTTGTTGTTTGTCTTATTACTTTCATCTGAGATTAAGAACCAAAGTATTTTACAGTTAGACAAGAGCATATAGTACCAGGCTACAGAGAAGGGTAGGGGAATTGTGAGGCAACTGTACTTTCCTTTTTTCCCCTCTAACTCCATGAAGTTATAGTATGTGTTGGTCTCAGTGATCTTCATGCTAACATTAGTTTTATTTATCCAAAAGAACACACAATCCACATTACACAACCTTTTGTTGGGAGGATAGCAAGTTGTGATAACTGCATATAACAAGGAAAAAGACAGTTTTAGATGAAACTTCATATGATTAGTAAAAGGATGACTTACAGAAGTCTGTAGGTTTTGTCTGAAAGTACTCAAATAGTACTCAGTGATAGAGTGCTTGACTATCATGTGTGAGTTTCTAGATTCAGCACCACAAAAAGAACATAACAGCAGCACTCAGACTGGCTGCTGAAACAGCTGCTGGCTTAGGTGACAGGCAGGCTTCTAGGACAAACTACCAGAGAGAGCAGCCTCCGGAACTCAAGCTAGCAACTGCTGCCTGAAGGATAAAATAATACAATCCCCTCTTCATCCATAAAAGTATTCACACACTCATACAAAAAATTAACTCCAACTTACCTAGTTTTTCTAAAAACACTTGGTACCTGCCTCTTGTAGAGACCTGTTTTTTACAGCAGTTCTCAATATAGGCTAATGACAGTATTCTAAAGTATTCTAAGTAATCTGTGCTCGTTCTCTGTATTAGTGTAGTTTGATTCAGGATTGACCATCCAGAGGGATAGATGGGACAGAGTCTTCTCTGACAACCCTTCCTATGCTTTGTTCAATTTTACTTTTTTGTTCTTTTGGTTCATATTTTTGTGAGTTATTGAGAGTGAGGAAAGATATGGTGGTGTGTGCTGTAGTCTCAATTATTCAGGAGGCTGAAGCAGCAGGATTACAAGCTTGAGGACAGCCCAGGCAACTTAGACACTTGCTTAAATAAAAAAAGGGGACTGGAGATGTAGTGTGAAGACCTTTAGTTCAATCCTCAGTGCCACAAAAAACAGTGTGTCTATTGCACTCTGGCTAATTGTTAACTTGTAACTCTTTGTGCAATTGAGCACAGCCTCATTACACACTAGTACAGTGGTGGTGAAATTGTGGCACATGTGCCGCAGGAGTCTGTCTGTTGTTTTTGAAAGCCCTAACCCCTTGCCATCACTGCCCTAGGAAGTCACATAGGAGATGTGTGTGGCATTCTTAGTAAGGGATCCAGCGAACACCTAATAGAAACAAGCCAGGTGTGGTGGCACACTCCTATAATCTTGGCACTCAGAGGCTGAGGCAGGAGAATCGTGAATTCAAGCCCAGCCTAGGCAGTTTAGCAACCTCATGAGACCCCGTTTAGAAATAAAGGTCTGGATTCAGTACCACAACAAAACTACACTGCATTGTTCTCTCACATCCCTCTCATTCCTTGCTCTGCAGGTGCACAAGGCAAATCCGATACGCAAATACCAGTCTGTGGAAATAAAGTCAAGTGACCAGCCTCTGACGGTGCCTGTCTCTCCTAAGTTCTCCACTCGATTCCACTGCTGAACTAAACTGAGCTGCAGATACTGCTTGGCGCCAGGAGCTGCTTGTTATGTCCTACAGGCACGGAGAGAACTCATTTCTCCAGACTCATTGACTCATGCCTAACACAGCATTCCCACAGCTGTGGGGCCAGTTCCATGGAGGTGTTTTCATACATTTTAAGGCTAAAAAGAGACTCAGCTAACTCATCTATGCCTCGATGAGGCTTCTTGTAGTGGTTTCCTTTAAATATCAGTTGACCCTTAACTAGAATTACAAGTCTCTGTGTTAGCATAGTGCAATTTCTTTTTCCCTTTATCCCTTCCCTTTATATATTTGTGTATTTTTAATCAGAAAATAAAGATAGTGCAACTTTGAGGTAGGATTTAAGTCATAGTTTAAATGAGGACCAGTCAGTGTATCAGATTCTTTCCTCTTCTCTATATAAAATAAGTTTATAGTTAAGAGTTTGCCTTCAGGGCGGAGAACTTCAGTAACTGCTCAGGAGGATCACACAGCCTCCTGCGAACACACCAGCAACCACTCAACAAACTTGGAGCAGAGCCGCTCTCTGGCCTCTTTCCTCCCTGGCGCTGATAAAAACGGGAGTGGTGCTGAATACACTTTAAGACCTGGCCCAGGAATAAATACATGTTCTTTTCCCTGATTTTGTTACTTAATGGTTTACTTTTTTGGGGGGGGTAGCAGGAATCAAACTCAGGACTTTGTGCTTACCAGGCAGGCGCTGTGCTGCTGAGCTGTATCCCTGGCTCTAATGTTATAAAATTTAAGCCCCCTTTGAGTGAAAGTGGGTGATTTGAAAAGGAGGTCCAGGATCTTTCCAGATCACAGACTATCTTTAAAGGAAAGTGCTTTGTAACTTGTTTATCCATAGCAGAGTATCACTCCATATTTTATTAATTTGCTTCTAGTAAACACCTAATTGTGAATGGGTAAGAGTCAACTGAAGTAAAAAAAAAAATTTGTGTGAGTGTGTGTGTGTGACAGAGTCTTACTGTATAGTTCAGGCTGGCCTTGAGTTCATTCTGTAACCCAGGCTGGCTTTAAATGCACAGTGATCCTCTTGCCTCAGCCTCCTGAGTTGGGATTATAGGCATGTGCCACCACCCTTGGCTAAGATACGTTTTAAGAGTTCTTTCTTGACCATGACTTCAAATAAGGGTGGTCATTTCCTTTGTGCCTTCCAGTGTTTCTTGTATGAACTATGTCTAGTAGAGCAGCTGCCTCATATCTGAGTTGGCTTGTTCTTCACAAAACAATAGAGAGGTGTTAGTTCCTTGAAGACAAGAATTGTTGCAGTCCTCTGGGTTCTTTGACTGGTGCATAATTGGTTTAGATCCATGCTAAATAGTACATTTTCTTTTGACTTTCCATTTTTTAATTTAGTTTAATTTTTTTTGGTACTGGGGATCAAACTCACTTGCACTTGCCAGGTAAGCACTTATGCTGCTGAGCTAAATCCCTGCCCCTTTTCCATTATTTTAAAATAGCTGCTCCTGGGCCAGGAGATACAAAAGCAGCTGTGTTCTGTACAGGCCAATCCTAAGCACACCATATATGACATCAGGCCTATTTTATTTTCATGGATTTACTGTCATGCGCAAGCCATTGTAGATCCATGTAGATGGACAGCAGGGTAGTGCTTTTCACAGTATGACTTACAGATCCCTCCCTCCTGGAGGCCACAGGTCAGCACAAAATGAGACTCTTTTGTTTATTTCTTAGAGGTATGTAATATGGTCTCATAGCCACTTACTTAGTTCATTTAATAATTATTTACAGTGCTAAATATAAATGCCCACACCCTTTTGTACTGTTCTAGTCTCTGGGAATTCAGCCCAGAGAGAAAAGGACTGTGCCTTTTGTGGAGCTTAGACTTCAGTGGGGAAGACAGACAGATGTGCTTAAGTATTGTTCCACTGATGAGAGGTCTTAGCACCCCTGCTGTGCAGACAGGCTGGTGTGGAAGAGGAGCATGTGAGCTGGGGAAGGCGGGGAAGGCGGGCTAGGCGGGCTGGCTGCGGCTATTGCAGTGCAGGTAGTGAAAAGTGTTGGGCTTCGTGGTGAACCTGACATTGTAACTGGTAAGACTTGCCAGGGAAGTGGATGTGGAGAGAGGGAGTTACAAAGTGATCAGCCTCAGACAGACATGGATCATTTGCACTAAAATAAAATAAACAGCTCTTGGAGTCTTATATTTTCCTTGGTCACCTATTTCTTTGCTGTTTCCACCCCTACTAATCTCTTGATTTCTTCTCTGGATCTGGCGTATGAGGTTTTTTTTCTCTGTTTGTGTCAGTTCCCTCAGTCATGTGTTTCCACCTGGCATCATTTTTTCATATGTCTTATATGCTTTCACTTCTGATTGTGTCAGGTGGAACAGTAAATCCAGCCCTCGGACTGAGGCCTCAGGACTACTGTGTTGAGCATTACAGACTGGGACCTTCCACCCATTGCCCCCATTCTTGGTTGTCCCTGCCCAGCCCCCACATAGAGAGGTAGTATATGGCAGTGATTTAGAGAAGTTATGAAGTCTGATTAAGAAGAGCTGATGTTTAATTTTTAAAAATTAGTGTAGCAAAAGATACATTGTCATGAATTGCCCCTCAAAATACTCCTCCTTGCTTTGAACGCATATCACACTGTTGTTGCTGGGTTTTTTTGTTTTTGAGACAAAGTCTTACTATGTAATTCAGGTTGGCCTTTAACTCACAGCAACCCTCCTGCCTCAGCCTCTGGGAGTACATGTTTGCTACCATCCCCGGCTATGTTCATGCTGCTTTTGAAGCAACTCTAGAAGTTCTATTTGTGTCTTTATTTGAATTCTTATAACTGCCTTGATAACCTGAACTGATTAAAATTGTTGGCCTTTCGTGATCATTTTGACTTCAGAAAAGAGTCAAGCTGCATGGTGCATGATCCAATGAATAAGGTGGATGAGGACTCAAACTTACTGTTTGCCAGAAATTGTGATTGCAGAAGTGATATGTGAACTGGAGCATTGTGTGATGGAGAGTGAAACCAGGTACCCAAACTCAGGTTACTTTCACCACATCATTTTTAAATGCTTGAATAAGCTGTTATAATATTCAGGGTTGACTCGTGTTTCTGAGTGCAAACTCAGCTCGCACATTTCCATCAAGGCCAAAAAGCGCATCACCTTGATGGAGTTTCTTGACATGATTTCTTCACATGAAGAGAACTGGGTTTTGAACCCAGTTCTGACAGTTTTGAACCTTGCTCACAGGATCATAATCAGCCCCAAGTTTCATGTCCGTATGACATTTCTTTAAAAAGTTGCAATCTAAAGCTGCATGATCAGGAAAGCCCAATGAAATTGCATGTTAATTTGGTGTTCCTTTTGTTTTTAAGACAAGGACTCACTATGTAGTTCAGTCTGACCTTGAACTCACTATGTAGCCCAGGCTGGCCACAGCCTCTCAAGTGTCAGGACTACAAGCATGCACCGCCACGCCTGGCTAATGTGAATGTGTTCTTAATCTGTGATTTATGGCATAGTTCAAAAACACGCCTCTCTACTGTCGCTCACAAGTAACTGCACCAAGCAAGTTGAAACTTCTACATGCTTTTACCAAGGTTTGACTTGCCACTTCTTGTAGTGAAGATCCCTGCCTTTCCATTGGCTGGCACTAGGCAGGGGTCTTTCACCCATATTTTTTGATCACCTTTTGATACATTACTTCAGAACAAATACCTTAAAACTGAGTGGTTAACAGCTTCAACACAAACTCGTGATTAGTAATGAGTCTTGTTTTGATGAATGCCCCACTTTTACCTACCTTTTTTTCCTCCAGAAACTCAAACTCTACTTTTATAGAGACGTTTGTATTCTTTGTCCTCATAGGTCAAGTTCTAGAAGAAGCTTCATCTTTCCATACTAAGAGGTTACTCAGGAATTTTTCTAAACAAATGGAATGTCCTGAGATAAGAATTTACTGGGTTCTACTAAGAATCTGGCTGCCACACTTTGCTTGGCAGTTTTGCAAAGTGCCTAGTGCGCATGCACGTGTAGATTGTTGGCGCTCCCACTGTTTGTGGGAGGGCGGTTTTCAGAAGGGTTTTGACTTGGTCATGATTTTCCATTGCTCATACTTTGTATGAATTCATATAAGATCACTTTTACTCTTTGGTTAATCACTGTTTTCTTGTGTAGTATCTTAGTTTTTATTTTTGTCTCTTTGCTCTTTAGTTGGTTTTTTGAGACTGGGTCTCACTGTTGTTGAGGCTGGCTTTGAACTCACAACCCAGGCTGGCCTTAGCCTCCATAGTGCTGGGATTACAGGCATGTGTCACATGCCCTTCTTTATTTTTTTATTTTTTTATTTTTTTGGTACCAGGGATCAAACTCAAAACCTTCCACTTGCCAGACAGGCACTTGTGCCGCTGAGCCCTCTCTGGCCCCTGCCCTGCTTCTTATGTAGTGTCTTAGCTGGTCTTTCAGTTGCTTTATTCCTTACCAGTTCTTTTCTGAGGAGTTTTGTCCCTAGAAAGTAGAGCCAGAGTGGAGGACAGACTGCAGTATTAGTTGCCCCAGCACCTAACAGAGATGAGAGCTGGACACACATAATTATTAATAGTAGGATAGGTTCTAAAATGGGGAGTACTGTAGGAGTTCAGGGTTCTCGTTGGAAGTGAGGTTGTAATTCATAAAGATGATTTTTAGTTTTTTAAAAGTAAAAATTCTAAAGGTAATCACAGTTAGATATTTGTCTAGGTTTTTGGGGGGCTGGCTTATGGCTGGAGTGCCTGGTTGAATGTGAATGTCCTGTGATAAATCTTGACATCGTTTCCTTTGTGATTCCCTTGAGGAAGGCTGTCGCCTCCTGGAAGCTGGTTTGCTGGGAAAGTTCTTCAGTGCTGAGAGAAGCAGTTAAAAAAACTGTGAGCCATGTGGCTGGGCTCCTATTTCTGCACAGGCAGGCTGAGTTTCAGCTTGGTGGTGCGGATCCAGGTAGGAACTGGTCAACGTTCTGAATCCTGAGCTGCCTTCTACCTTGCAGCCTGCTGAGATGCTCAGAGAACATACAAAGTTTCCTGGAGACAGGACAAGCCCAGGCCTATGGAAAGAGCAGGAAGGTTAAAGTGTGTGGCAGTCTGAGCAGTGACGGAGGCGTAACCAGGGAACTGAATGTTTGCGCCAGGGCCAGGAATTCCAGGACAATTTGTTATCTAGCTAAAGCCAGTGTAGTTGCTACAAAAGAGAAGCCTGGGGACAAAAACATACTTCCCTCTTTCTTTGTGTTCTTCGTAACCACTCTTGTTTCCTGGTGCTATTGGAACAGTTGGTGACGTTGGAAGTGTCTGGTAGTCTTTGTTATTCTCTAGCCGGAGAATAAGAGGCCAGGCTCAGGCCAAAGTGTGTTTCTTATGCACTGCAGGTATCACCTTCCTGGAAGGCTTTCACCAGTGCTGACTTTCACTTGCAGAAATCATAGGTCAGGTGTAACTGGCCAAAAGAAATACTAGGTTTTGTTAGGAAACAATGATTTACCAGGCATCAGTTGCTCTTTTCCCTTTAAAAAAAATGCTCTTGGACAGAGAGGAAATAAAAGGCTGGCCTGTCTGATCTGCAGAGACCCAAATAGTTGTGAGACTGCTGTAGCAAGTCAAGCAGGGTGTGAATGTGCTAAACATTGTGACTAACTGCCATAGCCCGACTTGTTTTGGTGCTGGTAGTATTTTTGGGCCCTCTTTCAACAAGGCTGAGAGAAATAGACTGTGGTGGCTCCTTTGTAATGTCGAAAAGTAGTTTGGGGCCACATTGATGGAACTTGCTTGGTGGCAACGAGATGAGGCATCTTCAAGCCCTTTCCGACCTCCCATCATGGGCACACGTACTGGATTACACAGCCAATCTGGTGCGTGTTCTTTTAGGTAAAACTTTTGTCCTTTTTTATATATTAGGTGTGATTGAAAAATACGAATATTTAAGTTTTTAAAATTATTTCCCAGCACTTGGGAGGCTGAGGCAGGAGGATTGCTGTGAGTTCAAGGCTTGTCTGAACTACATAGTAAGTCCCTGTCTCAAAAAAACAAGCGATCAAACAAGAAAAACAAATTGTAGTAAACAACAAATTGCCATTAATGCCTCTCGGGGTGCTACTTGTGAATATACTTACCCCTCATTCTTACCACTGAACTGATTTTTGTGATTTTAGTTGCACTGTTATTGTCGTCTTGGTGTCCTGACTATATTAAAAACTTTTGCCTTTCCTTGTCCTTTTTGACTTTGGGAAAGAGATAGAAGTTACATACATGGTGCCAGCTCTGGTGAGTAAGGTGGAGCGTACACCGGAAGTGTTTTCACGAGCTGCCTGTCTGTTGGGTGGCGCTCACTGCCAGCATTTGAATATTACACCTCGTGAAGACACAAAAGACTTCCAGAGCTGCTTCAGAAAGTGGCAGAGACAGTGGCTCAGTGTGTGCCAAGTGCAGGTTGTCTCCCGGGGATGAGTGGGAATGTGTCTTTCACTGTAATACATTTTAAAACATCCACTGTACATTGTGGTCACACCTTGTATGGCTTTGCTGTGTGTACCCTTTTGGTATACTGCTGTCATTTAGCACCAGCATAGCATATGTGTTTTTCCTGTATTATTGTATACTTGTAAGTACCGGCTTTAGGAGCGTGCTGTTCCATTGTTGTAAGCGTCCTTCTCCCCAGTGAAAATGCCTGTTCTGCAGAGGATTGTCCTGGCCTATTTATAGGACAGAATTGTCTGCATTTGCTTCCCTCTAACGTGACATAGCCGTATCTAAATTTTGTACTTTTACCACTTACCAGCCAGTTATCTTTGTAATTGAAATATAAGCTTGGAAGGAGATATTTCTCTCCCAGAAGTGTAATTCATGACATTATTGTGGCACACACACTTGCAGGTTGGAAAAGCTCCCTGGCTGGTGTGACGTCAGTATCACTGCCCAGTGTGGGGAAAAACATTTAGCAAAGTCTTTTTGAAGATAATTTTAGTTACATTATTTTAAAGTCTTACAACTCTACATTTTCTAATAGACTTACTTGGCAGATTCATTGTCTTCAAGCCTTCAGATTAGATTTGAAAGAAAGCAGCACTTTGTCCTAACTGGAATTGTGATGTGTCTGTTGGGAAGAGTGGAAGGCGGGGTTATCATCTCATGTTTGTCTCTGACAAACCAGGTGACGGTTAACAAGTTGTTGCACTGCACCTCAGTTTCCACATCCAAACCCAGTAGCTTGAGCTGATTTTAGTATGTGGGCTGCCGAAGCAAGCACTGAGCTAGAACTGTGAGGCTCCTTTTATCTTAAATATTTTCAGATTTTTTTCTAGGCAATTTGTTTAAGCCCCACCAGCCCTACTTTAACGTTTCTGTTCCTCCCATAGCCAGGCACTCGGCCACTTCTAGTGAGTGCTTTGCCACAGGAAGGGCAGTGCAGTATCCGGACACCAGTGTGCCATCTTGTCGAGGGCTTTCCAGGGGGTGGTTCTGGAAGCGGGAGTCTAGCCCAGATCGCTCCAGGGGGTTAATCCCGGAATAATGTTGTCCTCCCACACATGCATATTTTCGGCTGTTTTTCTTGACCTTGGAACTGTTTGAAGACTGCATAGAATATCCAGTGTATTTTACAGACTACCCCAAAGAAGTCGCCCCCTCAACACCCAAGATGTGTCCCCCTGCGCCCAGGCGTGACTTTTTCTTCTAAGTGGTTTTTCTAATGGCAGTTTAATGATGTCACAGTAAAACTACAGTTTTTAAAGGGCTCATCATCCAGAAGAACTGGGCTACTTTGGATATTTTGCATGAAGTTCAAGAGAAACAATTAGTGGAATAAAGCCTAGATTGGGAATTGGAAGAGCTGCTTCTTGGCTCTGTGGCCTTGAGCCATTTGAGTTCTGTGGCCTCCGCCTCCTCACTTCAGAGTTAGAATGGCATTTTTGGAGAGGACTGTTACTATAGCTCAGGGAGGAGAGTTTCTCTGCTAAAGCAGTGCAGGTAGCAGTGGTGACTTACCCTTCTTGGCTGGTGTGACAGTGTGACCATTCCTGTCACCAGGGCTTGCCAGGAAGCCCCCATTGTTAACTCGCAGCTAACCACATGACAAGGCAGTCACGGTTGCTAGTTACCAGCTTCAGGGAGGCTGCAGGTGAGGGCTCATGGGAGTTTCTGCAAACCAGAAGCAAGCGATGGATTTGAGTTGAGCTTCTGGAGATCTCATTCCCACTGGTTGATGTCTACACTGCAGGCTCACTGAACTTACGATAACCCTCTCTGGGGCTTTATTATTTGCACACTGGCTGTTTTCTCTCTTTTGTGGTAGTTTGTATTGCTCCTTCACCAATGACTTGACTTTGTGCATCTCTTGCTGTCCGCCCAATCAAGTCTGAATGTTTCCAGGTTTTCCTCACATGGGTACCACATGAGTACCAAAATACTGCTGTCTACAGCCCAGGGACTCAGAAATAAATGATCGGGAAGCTCAGCCTTTTGGGTTCTGGGAGACTTTTCTGTGGTCCACAGTGTGTGGTCTGTGGACCAACAGTATACAAGCGCTGCCCACAACTGACTTAGTGTGACCATGATGTCTCAGTGCAGAGCCCTGTGACATTTTAACCAGCTTTGTAGGGACTACAATCTGCCCAAGTGTAGGGACTGCTGTGCCAGGAGAGGGACCGTAAATACCATCTCAGGTTCCCATGGTTCCATGAGCCAGCAGCTCTCTCCTGTGACTCAGTGCCCAGGACAGACAGGAGCCTGCCTGAGGGCAAGACACTGTCCTCCCTGCCACGGCTCCCTAGGGTGCCATCTGTGTGCAGTGCGTTACTGTTGCTGAGGCTGTGGAGAGGGAACTTTCCTCCTGCCTGAGAGGGAGGAATGCTTTTCCATATATGCTTGCAACATATGACAGATGAGGAAACTGAGGCTTGGCATTCCTTACCCAAAGTCACCCTCCCGGAAGTGGCAGGGTCGGAATTAGGATCCAGGTCTGTGTGTTCCCAGAGGCCCTACCTTCCCAGCTCGCATCCCTGGAGCAGAACCAGCACTACGGGGGGCACCCTAGGTCCTCCGGAGGACAATGCCTGATTCTTTTTGTGTGAGGTGGAGCCCTTGCTGGCCCAGCCTCCCGGAGGCTGAAAGGCAGCTCCTCACTCCACTTTCACCTGCCTTCTGCACAGCAGGCATCTCCTCAGACCGGGCCGGATGCTTGGGTTCCTGTCAGGGATGTGGCAGCTGCCAGTACGTTAAGCCACATGCCTCCGCAGGCCAGAATGATGGCCAAGGTGCCAAACAGACTGCAGCCGTGAAGTGTCCCCCAGCAGGGCCCTTTCCTAGCAGCCCCTCAGCTTGCCATGTATCTCCTAGTTCTTATGGCAATCCAGTTTAGCAAGCACACCTAGACTTTAAAAATAGCACAGTGGCAGGCAGGGAAGCTGTCCCTATGCAAGAGAACAGAACACGCGTTCCCAGGTTCTTGAGCCGTTTCCTGGGGTCGTATGATGGGAATGACTTCTAGTCAAATTACTCAACCCAGGGTCTACGCCTGCTCTGTCCTGCTTGTGCTCCTGGATATGCAGCTGTTTTGCCCCCGCTGCAGTGCTTCCAAGTCTGCGCCTGGGATGTTTCCTGTTCTTGGAACAGCTGCGCCAGCCTGGGGTACCCTCCTGCTATTTGATCCTATAGGGAGGTGTCCAGTGGCTGTGGCAATGTTCAGATGACCTTGTTCCTCTGACGTCATTAGGTAGCTATTTTTAGCTTTGCTGTTTATGCTGCAGAAGTTGGGCTGGGATGGGAGAGGAGGAGTAAGGGAAGGACTAGCTTGGATTCCCCTCATCCCCTACCAAAGTAGAACCATTTATTCTTTCCTACTGAACGTCAAGCCTTGGGGCAACAAAGTTGACGCAACCTAAATGTTTCTTTAAAGGTACTAGGAATAAACCCCTGGCCTCACACGTGCTAAGCAAGCATTCTTTCACTGAGCTACATCCCAGTCCCAAAATACTCTTCACTCATAAATTTATTTTTCCATCAGTCACGGTGGCGCAGTGCTCCTGAGAGGCCAAGATAAGGAGGAACACAGCATGGGCAACTTAACAACATGGCAAGATCTTGTCTCAAAATGTAAAATAATGGTGGTTCTCACCTATAATCCCAGCACTCGGGAGGCTGAGGCAGGAGGATCCTTGTGAGTTCGAGACCAACCTGAACTGCATAGTGAGACCCTGTCTCAAGAAAAAAAATTTTTTAAAGGCCTGGGTCTTTAACTCAGTGTAAAAGTCCTAGGTTCAATTGCAGTATACTATATAAAATGTTTTCATTTTCCATTTTGTGTGTGTGTGTATGTGTGTATGTTTGTGGGATGGAAAATGGCCCTGGAGCCAGACAAGGTGGATTAAAGCTCTGGTCCTACCATTTACCTCTAAAGGCTTGGGTAAGTTTCTTTCTGTGTTCCTAAGTTCTTGGGTGTCTGACACTAAGATGAAAGAGTTATGCCTGTGCCCGGCACACAGTAAATGCACAGTACGTGTTAGCAATGTTACTGTCAGCCACAATGGCACCATGTATTGCTCTAGGTGCTTGCTTGAGAGACGGATTGAGTGAGAAATGGACACTGTGTATTCTGAGCTGGGATCTGGGCCCAAAAAAGCTTCACACTGGGACTTGGTTGACACAAGTCGCAAGAAATACCCGCCCCATGCACCACTCTATCCTAACTCCTAGGGGGCGTTCAAGGGCAGTGAGATGCAGCTCCCAGCTTTGGTTGGTTGAGTGACTCAATCCTGATTACCTTTCCAGAGGAAGGTTTTTAAAAACACCACCATCCTGCGCACACCTCCAGATGGCCGATTTGTTGGCTGTGAAAATTCCCCAGGCTGTTGGGACAGGTGTCCTCCGCTGGCACATATCAGGAGGAGACACTCAGAGCCAGTCCTCCTTCAGGGCTTCAGTATTTCCAAGGGAGCAGGCCTCTGACTTGGAAGTTCTCGAGCTTGCACGTGTATAAACATCACCAGAAATGCTGCTCAGAAAGACTGCTTCCTGGAGCCACATTCCCAGCAACCTCCATGTTAAACTCTCCAGGGCCTCAGGCATTGACCAAGAGGCCGAGGGGATAGAATTGTGAGCTCTCTGAGGTTCTGACCACACCTGCAGCTGAGAAGTCACCCCTGACGTCAGTTCCAAAGGCTCTGCTTCTGAAATCCCACCATGTTTCATATCCTATTAATGCTTTTCCTCTTTTTCTGCCTCTAATTTGTGTCCATGTTATATTTTGACTTACTGATCTGATCATGTTATGAAGAGTCATTTTTTTAACATAGGAAATTCAAAGAATAAAAAGTCGTCTCCATTCTCACACTTGGGATATACCTGTATACCCCCAGAGGTCTTCTGTTTTTAATAACAAGATCCTACTCCACATGTGAGTTTTACAAGCCTTTTTCACCTAAAATGCAGTCAATAGTGATTCTATGGCCCTCTCCCAACTTCATCTCTGCATCTCCAAAGTCAAAGGTTTAGTCCTTGCCACAGAGTTGGACACTCACTGGGGCAGGGCAGTGTGTCAGTTAGGCTTCCAGCAAAATCTGTGACCATTTTGCAGCACAGGATGCCCGAAAATCTCTGTTCACCAGCTTTAGCCATAAGAGCCAGCGCTATCATAGTGACAGCAACCTTACCTAGGGCTTTTCCAGAGCCTGGGGAGGGCGTAGGTACCGGTAAGGCTGGGCTCAGAGTCCAAAGGTGGGGGAGGGCGAGAGAACAGCTTGCTTATGACAGCTCTGCGTGACTCTCAAGTCAGGCCCGGGTGGAAGTTAGGAGGGGAGCTGGCTGCTCTCTTTGGAGTCAGAAAGGTTATTGCTCAACTCCTTGGATTTTCCATCACAGTGGAGCAGGGAAGGGGTCAGGCGGAGAATGTCTCTTCTAGCAGGTCCTTTTAAAGCCTTTGGCTGGACCATTTCCTCATAGGAACCAAAGAAGCAGTGCCTGGGTAGAGTTAACTCCCCCACTGCCGGTGAATTCTGGACATGGCCAAGCCCGGGAGCCTGGGCTCCTGGAGGGAAGAGATATATGGGGTAAAAGACCCAGGAGCCATGAACTCTGGATGCAGAAGCCTCGCCCCTGGCCTTGTTTAATCCAACAGGCATAATTGCATCCCGCTGATCTTAATTCCCCGGGCAAGATTAATTGGTCCTGGCATTGCCCTGTTTCCTATCCTGCCCCTGGAGAAGCAAAAGTATCTGCAATTGGTGCAGGGCAGAGGATCCCCTTTTTCTAAGGGTGAGCAGGGGCTTTGGCAACCCCTAGATAGGTGGAGGAAATTTCCCTGTGCTCTACCCCTGTGCCTCCAAGAGAGTGCTGAAACACAGGTCCAGGACTTCCAGGGAGGAGCTGGCTGGGGCAGACCATCCTGCGGATCTGGAACCAGGCCAGCCTCTCATCCCAGCAGAAGGCAGGGTGGAGCAGGCAGGAGCAACTGAGCCCTCTACCTGAGGTGCCCACAACATTTGCAAGCTCCAGAACCTGCCACACTGTGCTAAACACTCCACATACATGTGCTGGCTTCTTCTCCCCAGCCACTCTGTGCAGGAGGCCGTGGTATGAGCCAATCCTTGGGTTAGGTGGTTCCAATCCCAGTTCTGTGATGTTGCCTATGCGTCAATTTTCCTACGACATCGGAAAATTGGGGGTGGAATGGCTGACACACAGTGCACTCCCATATCGCTCTAAGTGCTTCGTGTACCCTTCCGAGGGCAGGGACTGGTCCTGCAGACAAGAAACCAGCAAAGGTGTTACTGGTCATGGAGCTCCACCGACAGAGCTTCTAACCACTTCCCAGCAGTGTTGTTATAAGGGTTAAAAGACCCTCAATTGTTTACTCCATGTGCCCAGTTCAGTAAGTGCTTTTACTTGGGAATCATAACAGTAATAAAGTAGCAAATGCCACTACTTTGGTCTCCTTGAGAGGTTCTTCTGGCTTTGAATCTGGATAGTTTTAAGCCACTCACTAAGGTAAGTGACTTAGGGGGCAGGCCATTTACTTTCCCTGATATCAGTCTCTGCGTCTTTTTTTTTTTTTTTTAATTGCGTCAGAGTCTCACTATGTAGCCCAGGCTGGCCTTGAACTTGCAATGATCCTCCTGTCTTAGCCTCTGGAATGTTGGGATTATAGGCATCCATGCCCAGCTTCTCTACATTTTTAAAATGCTCTGTCACTTGGCTTGTGGAGATTTTAGGAACAGGGTAAAGTCAAGCCAGGCCCATGGTGGGCACTCAGCACCTGACAGGTATTTGCTTGTTTGTTTGTTTGTTTTTTGAGACAGGGTCTTGCTGCGTAGTTTAGGCCGACCTCAAATTTGAGGTGATCCTCTTGTCTCAGCCTCCTGAGTGCTGGGACTTTAAAGCGTGCACCACCATGCCTGGCATAAAAGATGGGTGTTGATAGCCACAGCAACAGCAAGGGGTGTCAGCAAAGCCATCAGAGTAAAGCCACCCCAAGACCCGGTCCAGAGTCTTGCTGGTCTCTCAGTTACTTACTCATCAGAGACTGACTGGCAGGCACACACTGTGCTGGGGACATGCGCAAGCATGAGCGGCCCTGCCCAGACTCATCCCCAGTGGGTTTGGCCTGGGGCCCTGCAGGAGGCCAGGCAGGGGGTGTTTAAACTTTCAGGCCAAACTAGAGAATGCTGTCCAACAGAGGGCCAAGAGGTCCCAACCCCAGGTGTGGACAGGAAACATTTCAGCCTCCAAATACTAAGACCCACATAGTAGGCAACCAGGCCGGGAGACTTCAGAGCGGAAAGAAGACTTTGAAATATGTTCCTGGCCCCCTCTGTGTGCGTGTGCATGAGCGTGTGCACGTGTGTGCATGTGTGTGGCAGTGCTGGGGAGGGGCTATAACCCAGGGGCTCGTGTGCATGCTGGGTAAGTGCTCTATCACCAACTGCACCCCCAGATCTCCTTCTGTTGAGTGACACAGGGCAAGCCTCTATTCCTTTAATTCTTGTGCCCATCCTGATGGGATGAATGTGGCCCACAGTTATTAACAAGATAATGTGTAAAGACAAGCTGGATAAAGTCTGAAGCAGTGCCGAGAGCTCCTTTCCCTTGGGGGAGATGAGGTTCAAATGCCAGCTCATCCTCTTATAACCTGTATGACTTTGTATAAATGACTGAACCCCCGTGCCTCAGTTTCCCCGCCTATGATGTCCCAGCCACAGTGGGGTTTTTTGTTTGTTTGTTTTGTTTTTTTCTTTTTTATCGGTACCAGGGATCGAACTCACAACCACACACTTGCAAGGCAGGCGCTTATGCCGCTGAGCTAAATCCCCAGCCCCACAGTGGGCCATTAATGAAGACTGCATGAGTGCATCTTCACGAGGCACTCCGAATGAGGTCTGGCGCTGGGGAGGGCTCCGTAGGTACTAGTTATTTTTGCTTCCTGGAAGAGGCTGTCAACCGAGGAGAGGAGGGCTGGGTGGGATGAGGAGGCTCAGACGGAGCCGTGGCCGTCAAGCCTGGGAGGGATCTCCAGCTCTAGCTTCTGATCACTTGTGTCAAAAACTTTAACCTTTACTTACCTTCCAAAATTACTCATTTTGCCAAGTAATGCATTCACACAGTCAGTCAAATAAAACAATGAAAGGCCCACAACCACAGTCCCCGCCCCAGTCCCCGCTTTCTTGTCTGTTCTGCTATGATTATAAAGTGACAAAGTATACCTTACGCATGCTTTTGCATAGCTATTAGCATGCTCATGCTCTTCTGCACCCCCACATTTTGGGGTCCCTCCTAATCATATTCCCCCTTGCATGGAGGTGCTGGGTTCTCTCCGCCTTCTCCCATGTAAGGGCAGCCGCTGGGCTTTTACCTTGTGCGATGGAGAAGCTGAGTGGGCTGACTGGATGGGTTGCAGTCAGGCCCCACACCCAGATGCCCACTCTGGTCACTTTTCCCAGACCCCTCAGGGAAAGGCTGGGCAAGTAGCCCTGGCGCTGGAAGGTGCCTCAGAGCACAGCTTTCTCATCCCAGTGCAGCTTACACACCTGGGCTGAGATCCCTGTCATAATCAAAGATTCTAGAAAAGATCCTTCATTAGCCACCAACCTGTCCTGGGCAGGCTGCCAGAGAGGATGGATCTGATCTGGGGCGCAGCTCGGGGCACTGGCCACCTCCCACAGCCCAGGGTCCTGAGATCTTTCCAAAGAGAAAGCTTTGGGCCTGTGCCCCTGAGACAGTTTCTTACCCAAAGAAGTCCAAGTAGTCCAGATGCCAAGGGCATAGAGCTGGATATTGGGGTCAGGGTGATTATTCCTGGGCCTCTGTGGATCTCCCGGTTCTGGGAAACCCTAGGAGTTGTGACATGTAGGTAGACAGAGCTTGGGCCAGGCCTGGGCATCGTCTTGTCCTTCAGCTCTGCCTGAAGGTCCCCTGTCCTTCTGGGCCCCTCTGATCCTGTCCAGGTTGGGAGTCCTGGGCGAGGAAAGAGCTGCTCCCCCAGGGCCCCAGGTACCCCCTTCTTTTTCTCTTCCTGCTTGTTCCAACACCATTCCACCCCAGTCAGGCTGTGGGAAGAATTCTGTGTCCTCTGAACAGAGGCCAAGAGTGACAGGTGGTGGCAGCCCGAGCTGCATGGCCCCTGGTGTAAGAGATCCTCCTCTCCGTCCCCGCCTTCACTGCCCGCACCCCTGCCTCTGCCTCTGCCCACCCGGCCCAGTCCCTTACAACTGCTCTGGGACTGCTCCTGAGTAGCCGCTGTGAGGCAAGCACCAGAGGCTGCCCCTCTGCTCCAGGTATGTCTCCCCGCTTAGCCAGCTGGTCCTGGCCTCCTCTTGCCCCAGCAGATAGGACAAGGCAACCGAGGGCTCAACATACCTCTCTTCTTTCTGCAGCTAGAAAGACTTGAGTTAGACAAATAGAAGCACTCACCTCCTACCTCATGGCGACAGAAAATGGAGCTGTAGAGCTGGGAATCCAGAACTCAACAGGTGCCAAGCTGGGGCAGGAGCTGGAGGGAGGAGCTTGGGAAGGGGTGTTTGAGTTCAGGGTTGGGCAGGTTCCTCAGAGAGAGTTCTGTGCTTAAGGTTTCTTTGCATGGTGCATGGGGAACTTGGGAATCAGAATGATCTCCAGGTAGCATTGGGTTGGGTCTAGGGCCTGCACGAAACCCTCCCTGGAGAGACTGGGAGGATGGGAATCCTCTAAGGATGGCTAGTGGGGGTGCCCCTAGACACTGCGGGCAAGAGCAGAGGGAAGGGAAGCAAGAGCCACCCTGTCGGCCAGACCCTCCCACAGAGGCTGCTAAGGTCCTGGCTGCCCATCTCAGGGGTCCACCTCCACCAAGTGGCTCCCTTGCAAAGCATTTGTCTGGGTGGAGATGCGGCCAGGGCTAGTCTCTGTCCAACCTGGCTGGGAAGGGGAAGGCAGGTGGGTCCTGACAGACACCTCCCTCTTCATAGACAAGGCTCCTAACAGTGCTACAGATGAAGGATCTCCAGCTCCAGAGAAACACCCTGACTCCCCAGACCCCAAGAAAGACCCTGACCCATCTACTCTGAAGAAAGATGCTGAAGTCCCTGCCTCAGAGAAAGGAGATGGTGTCCCAGCTCAGCCCTCAACCAGCAGCCAGGGCCCTGAGACGGAGGCTGACCAGGGTGGGGGGCCTGCGGAGGGCCATGCCGGGGAGCCAGCAGCCCTGCCCCAGCCAACTGAGACTGCTGAGGCCAGTTCCAAGAGGCCCAGTGCTGAGCAGGGACCCTCAGACAACCAAGCACCCGGAGAGCCCAAGGTGGGCAAGAAGGCGGCAGAAGGCCAAGCTGCGGCCAAAAGAGGCTCCCCGGCCTTTCTGCACAGTCCCAGCTGCCCCGCCATCATCTCCAGGTGAATGCCCCCGCCTGGGAGTGGCGTCTTGCAGCTGTCCTCCTCCAGGGACACACTTAGTTCCTCTGTCTGAGCACTCTGGTCTCCCCGTCAGTGCTGGGGATGGTAGTGCCGACACTGAGCTCTCTCTGTCCTGGGTGTCAGCTTTGCCACATTGTCTCTGCAGAAACCAGGATTTGACCACCATAGAGGCCTGCAAACTCAGACAGGAGATGTCTCCAAAGACCACCACAGACGGATTTCTCTTCTCTTCTCTAGCTAAGCGTTTGGATGCAGATTTCCCCTTTCTTCTCTGGGCTTGGCTCTAGCCAAGGGCAGGGTTGCAGTGTCAGGAGGAAGGAATTGTTAATACTATTATTGCCACAATATGAAAAGATGACCAACAGATTGGTAGATTGTTGCCAAAAATTTCATAGCCGGAGCAGCACTGGTCTTACGATGTGATCAGATATGCACACCCGAATGCTAATGAGGTCTTAATGATAGATTATAAACTATGATAACATAATATCAGCTTAATAATTGTGTGTTAGTGTCAATTACATTCCCATGGTTTTTATGAATCAAGAGTGATGTAATTTCCTGAGTGCATGTTGACATACCATATCAACCATCTTTCTGGCATTAATGATCTGTGATTATGCTGATAGTCACTGTAAAGACTGCAGCCATCCCTGGGCACTTTGGGCAGAGTCAGACCACCGCAGATTGCAGATGAGGTCCAGAAACACCAAGCTCTGCCCGAGGCCTGGATGTGGTGGCTGCAGAGACCTCACATCTCTCCTTACCTTCCAGCTCTGAGAAGCTGCTGGTCACGAAGCCCCTCAGTGAGGCCTCAGAGCTCATCTTTGAAGGGGTACCTGTCACTCCTGGCCCCCCAGATCCTGGGCCAACAAAGGCAGAAGAGAAGAACATCGTGGCAGGGAGCCAGAAGGAAGCAGGAGAGAAAGCCCCAGGCCAGGCCAGCCAGGATAAGGTGCAAGGGGACACCTCGAGGGGGATTGAGTTCTCGGCTGTGCCCTCAGAGAGATCGGAGGCGGGGCCCTGTCTCACAGCCAGGGAGGAGGACTGCTTCCAGATTCTCGGTAGGCGGGGCTGGCAGGGGCTGGGTCGCACTGGAGTTGAGGGGTAGGGGGTCCAATCCACCCCAAGTGTCCACATTCAGGGGGCTGACGATGCCCTAAACTAAGTTTCATCAGGACACTTGTCTAATTTCACACAGCACCAGAAAGTATTTCCTTTTGCTAGAAATGGAAAAAAAGAAATTAAGTGCTCCAATGCACACAAGGAAGACAGACTGGCACTGGAGTCCACTTTTGGTCCCCCCCCCTTTTTTTTTTTGGTAAAAATAGGGTTCAACTAACCAATTAACCAACAAAAACCAGGCAGAATATTGGAGCAAGGCCAACTTACTGGGTAGTGGAATTGTGGGTCAATCTGTAACAAGCCTCAAATGCAAAAGGTTCAAAGGCTCAGACAACATCCTGGGAGGGTGCACAGAGGGCTTGTGAGCTGAGGAGGGCAGGTGTCTGTGTGGGTCAGTGACTGTGGAAGCTGGACATGAGTCACAGGGCAAGACTGCACAGCGTCCTGCATGGGTGCTCAGAAGAGGCCCCAGTGGGGTACTGGGGCTCATTTGGTGGGCAGCAGAACACTCAGTACAAAAGAGGACAAAAGAGCTTGGGGAGCAGCGGAAGAGGGACAGGGCTAGGGGCGGGGTGAGATGGGGTCAGAAGAGCCCGGAGTGTCCTGCCCCCCCCCCCCAGGCTGAGGTGCTCCGGGACATCTGCCAGCTGGCCTGGCCTGGCCTGGCCTGGTGAGCGGCACAGTGCCACCCAGACTGGGCGGGAGGACCTGGCGGCTGGGTGGCAGCCAGCAACCCTGCCTGCTGCCCCCAGCGGCAGCAGAGACCTCCGCCCCGCCCTGAGATCACATCCTGGCATAATGGCCCCTGAACCATCTCCAAGGGCCGTTTGATTTATCACCAGCCGGCTTCCCTGTCGCCTCTGGCTATTTATATAGAGGTTTCCATTCCCGTTGACTCAGCCTGTTGGCCCTCAGGGCCCGCTGTTCCCCACGGTGCCGCTAGGTGGCGGCGTCTCCCCACCAGACAGCCCCCGGCGCGCTGGTGTTGGGGGTGCCAGGCCCCACCACCCACCCATCTGGTTGAGACTCCGTTCTACGGGTGCGGTTTTGGTTGGTTTATGTGATCCGTTGTCTTTAATGGAGATGGACTCCGCATTTATGATGGGGAGGGGGTTTCCAAGAAGTCCAGTATCTCATTGTTCAGCTAGAAGCTGGATGCCTCTGAGAGGGGCATTTTGTGTGTCAGGGGCAAAACTCAGAAACTGGGCCCCTCAACTCCTGGAGCCAGGTGTCTCTGAGCATCATTTGGTAACTTTAACTTCCCTGGGGAGGGGAGGGGTAACCAGGCAGGTGAATGCTCAGCAGCCTTGATGCTGACAGGCGACACTGACCCTGGCCACTCTGCTCTGTCTCCCCAGATGACTGCCCCCCTCCTCCCGCCCCCTTCCCACACCGCATCGTGGAGCTGCGGCCCGGAAACGTCAACAGCGAATTCAGCTTGAACTCCAAGGAGGCCCTGGGAGGGTGAGATTCCTACCCCTGTCTGGGACCCAAGGCCAGCACTGCACCCCGCCCTGTGGCTGGGACCCGCAGGTCTGGACCGGGACATGTTCACTTCCCCACAGCCTGCGCACCAGCTGCCATGTGTGCTGGGCATTGTCACTGTGATACCCAGGTCACTCAGTGTTCCCATAGGAAACAGTATGCTCTGTCTGTCTCGGTGCCAGACCCCAGTGACCCCTCAGGGCTATTCCTGCTTTGTAGACAGCCCTGGCTCTGGCTGGTACCTCTGACAGATTGCTCCTTCCCTGCTGGCCGAGGGTGATGCCAGGGCCCAGCTCTGCCCACCCTAGGCCTGTCAGGAGCCTGCCCCTCTGTGCACATGCTGTGCTTGACCCGCAGAGCCCCTGTCTGGGCAGTAAGGCTCCTGGATTTGGGGGTGAGTCAGGGCTGGCTGAGGTGAGTGCTCCTACCTCCCAGAGGAGAACCTGGGGGCGCCCTCAGGGCTCAGGCTGAGGCAGGAACAAGCACCGTCCTCTCTGCCCTTCTGAAGCCTCTCACTCCCAGCTGCTCCTCTCTCCAGGGGCAAGTTTGGAGCAGTCTGTACCTGCACGGAGAAAGCCACAGGCCTCAAGCTGGCAGCCAAAGTCATCAAGAAACAGACGCCCAAAGACAAGGTAGCGGGGACACCTGGTCTGAGAAGGGAGGGGTCTTGGAGTGGGTACTGCTCACCTCTTCCACCTGCAGCACTGGGCCTGGCGCCTGGTGTTGGAGACAGGTCGCTCTGGAGTTGCCCCACAGAGTGACAGGTGGCAGATTCGCAGCCCTGCTGCAGGGGTCAGATGCCCCAGCCGTAATCCAGATACTTCAGTTTGTGAACTTCTCTGGGCACCTGTCCTTCCAGGCCCAGGTTCAGTTCAATAACACTACGGAGCGTGGGCTGTGGTCCCTGCTCTCAGGAAGCTGACGCCAACATAGAGGTGCCTGGCCCAGAGCTTCACCTCTAGCCTGGTGCCTGGCCCCGCTCCGAGGCCAGGAGCTGTGTTTGTCCCACGAGTGGACAACCAAGTGCAGGCAGAGGCTGTGTGAGGTGAG